CATAACAACAGAATGCAACAAGCGACTGAAGAGAGAAGAGATAACCGACTTGCTAGTTGCACCCAATCGGGTGCTAGTTACAGCATCAGTGCACGCTCTGGAAAGACAGCAGAGAGTGGAAAGGCCGCTTTCCAGTTACAGCAGCGTGTCCACAATAACGAAGAGGTAGGTGAGAAGCCTGACTACGGAGACGGGGGTGAGAAGGTGATGAAGCGTACTTCATGAGCTGTAACCGAAAAACAACTGCCATTTGGAAAGTTTGAGGTGAGGGAGCAAGTGTGGTGGAACAAGAATTGTTAGCATTGTTAAGTATCTTGCTAGCTGGATCGAATTTTCCGTTAGCTAGTTAACTAGCTGACGAACTAACTAAATTACTATCTATGAACTAATGTTTTCCCTCTACAGTATGTTGTTAATTTTCAGAATGAGAGAATTAGGTGAAAATGAGGCATTGCTTGTTAAACAAGTGGATTCAGGGATGAAGTGTAACGTTAGCTGGAGCTGAGCCTGGCTTAAGCTGGATCCCATTATAGGTGAAAGGAACACCACACACTTTCCCTCTGTCTCACTTTTCCAATGCGGTGGATAAAAAGGGGTATGCCAGGTGTACTCTGCCTGAAATAGATCAATTATGCCAAGAAAGGGTCTCATGCTCTGCTGCTGGCACATTGTAGAACAGGTGTCCACAGGCAGAAAGTGTACAATGTAATAACGTGCAGTGTAGCCCAAAGCTATTGCTTTTGTTGTGTTGAACTTGACATACAGTTGTGTCTGAGTGAGGGGGGGATTCTTTTAGTTTTTCTCTGTAAACGTTATTTTTGCACATATATAGCCTTGTGCACTTGATCGATGTCTACTATAGTGGCCACTATAATCGTAGCCACTATAATAGAGAAAAAATATAATGCCTGTTTGTTTCATTCTATTTCTACTTAAATATGTTTTTTTCCCAAGTGCAATATTTAGATGTGTGTGGTCACAAACGTTCTATTACAAAGGCTGTCATGGCTAACTGCAATATTAATATATAGTTTTTTCTCTGGACTTGAGTGCAATTTGCAGTAAAGGCTTGGCAACAAATAACATTGGATTGCTTTCCTTACATTTTTTAGCTGTGCGTTAGGTTCACATGAACCACTTTTTATTTTACACACAGAGACTGATCATGTTGATCATATTCTTTGTTGTTTAATTAGTTAACCTGCATTTCAAGAAGGGATTCAGCCTAAGTCACTAGAAATTAGCATTTTGTTTTTATTTATTTATTATCCCCCCAAGCAGGGATTTTCTGCATGTTTCAGTGCAAAAAAAAGTGCCACCAGTTTGCATCCCTGTTGAACTCTGTGAAGCATTTAATTAGGCTGCCATTTCTAAGGCTGGTAACTCTAATGAACTTATCCTCTGCAGCAGAGGTAACTCTGGGTCTTCCTTTCCTGTGGCGGTCCTCATGAGAGCCAGTTTCATCATAGGGCTTGATGGTTTTTGCAACTGCACTTGAAGAAATTGACTGACCTTCATGTCTTCAAGTAATGATGGACTGTCGTTTCTCTTTGCTTATTTGAGCTGTTCTTGCCATAATATGGACAAGTCGTATTCTTGGTCGTAGTGCTGGTAAGTTGACGCCGCTCTGATATCCAATAGTTCTTCCAGGCTGTATGTAATTACACTTAAGATTTTCTGGGCTAACATTGTAAGAAATAATACATAAAAAAACAAAATACTGCAAAGTTTCCTAAGGACTAGAAGTGAGGCAGCCCTCTGTCGGTAGCAAAGTAATGATGGACTGTCGTTTCGCTTTGCTTATTTGAGCTGTAATTGCCATAATATGGACTTGGTCTTTTACCAAATAGGGCTATCTTCTGTATACCACCCCGACCTTGCCACAACACAACTGATTGGCTCAAACGCAGAAGGAAAGAAATTACACAAATTATCTTTTAACAAGGCACACCTGTTAATTGAAATGCATTCCAGGTGACTACCTCATGAAGCTGGTTGAGAGAATGCCAAGAGTGTGCAAAGCTGTCATCAAGGCAAAGGGTGGCTACTTTGAAGAATCTCATATATACGCACATCAGCACACGCACAGATGCATTCACGCACGCACACGCACATTCACGGCATCGTTGAAGTAAAGCTGCTGTTTCTTTTGCCGGTTTGCTGAGCATTCAATCCCCCCAGCCTGTGAATATGTTCCATCTTCCTTCTCAAAGGTTGTTTGGCTGTTTGGCAATATCACATTTCCTTCCCTTCCATCACACTCAACTACTTGCTTACTTAATATACATTTTCATAAGATACCTTGGATTCAGAGGAGTTCGTTTTATTTCGGTTCACTTTGTTTAATCGCTCATTAAAGTAAAGATCAAATTGTTTTACTTCGGTTCATTATATTTCACTGCTTTAATTAAAGCCAAGATCAAATCTCAGCTTTTTTATATACCTGTCATAATAAAAACAGTTTATCAAGTGTTTTGATTATAAAAGGAAATGGGCACTTTGTCGCTAAAGTTAGGCCTACTCTCTGTATCATTAATCTGCTGACCAGTTGTTGTTTTTTGTATTAGGGTGGCATCTTTAGATGTCCCCAGTGGTCTCTAACAGTTCCTAGAACCCATGCATTCACAGCTCGCCTATCCCTCCCATCCCTGAGAGCTGAAATAAAAGCCCTGTGACTCACAGCTCCCCTTTAAACAGTGAGAGAGGGGGGAAAAGGGACCATGAGCTGAAATAATCGAGCGGTAGCACAGCCGCCCCCAAAATAATGTGTTAAAGTCCCTCCGAGTCCATGCTTTACATTTTGCACTATCAATCTCTGCGGCCATCTAAAAATATGCCCGACCACAGGAGTGTAATGGCTATTTATTAGTTCATAGATGCAATTCAGAGATCTAATTGGCCCGTCGTGCTACGTACAGGCCTATCCGGGGCAGCAAGGAGCGTTTTACATCACCCTGAACTTTGGAAAAGAGCTGAGCGAGCAGCCAAGATAGACCCAGACTCTCCTCCGTTCGCCCGCCCGCCCGCCCATTGGGTACATGCAGGGTTTTCTCAGAACGAGGATCTGTTTTCAGTGTTAAACCCCCTGTAATCCATGGCAACGGGTCCCAATTACATGGAGAGCAGAGCTCTCTCAACACCCTCCAGGCTGAGCTGCAGCCACCAGCCCAACCTCTCTCCCTCTCTCTGGTGTCTGTGTCCACATACGGTGCCCCTGCCTTGGGTTGGGGTGTTTGGGATGCCTGCCCAGGCCTCCAGACCTCAAGGGGTTATAAACACCCTGGAGTAGAGAGTCAGGGGAGCAACGGCTAGGACTGAAATAGAGTCTGTCTTTGCACATTCAGCAGGTTCTAGGCCCCGTGGAAATGTGTGAAGGGCTCTGGTACAGATTCACAGTGTAATATAACAAGAAAACAAAGCTAAATAGACTATAAACTACAGACTGAGAACAAACTGAATACATGTGTAAAAACTGACACTATTTTGTGTTTATGAGCATGCCTGCCTCAGTGGTGCTTTGTGCTTTCTCAGGCTTCTTTGTGCGTGTGTATATGTGTGTGCTTATGTGTGTGTTGCTGCTGCTCTGTGCGCTATGTTCATTCTGTATTGTACTAATGAGCCAGTCGCTTTCGCCTTTCGGCAGTGTTGATAGCACGGTAAGTTAGTAAGGCAAACTGCTCAAATGCTATAATGCAGCACAATTCCTTGTTTCATCCCTAAACTAACCATTGGCACGTACTAACCCCCGTCACTAACACTATGTCTTAATAGACACACACAGCAAGTTTGAAACTAGCTGAATTTATCGTAATACCATAATATCTGTTATATTGTGAATCTGAGCAAAGGCCACATTCACAGTGCACATGTGCCATGTCAAATTGGTAAGATGTGATAGTATGCATGTGTTTACCCCATACCAAGTGTATGTGTAGGCTTACTAGGCTACATGTGTGTATGTGTGCGTGCGATTGTGTCTACCAGTATCAGGGTTGCGTGTGGTCATGCACACATGGCCTGGTTGTTTTACGAGCTGGTTGACCCTTCCTGTCGGGTGTTGGGTCAAATATTACCCCAGCCAACTGGCTCCCACAGCAGGCCAGATCAACTCTGCTGGCTGGCTGGCTGGTACCAATGGTGGCTCAGCCTAGCACTTTAGCTCACTCTAGCTGTCCTAGGAGACCTGTGGTTAGTTACTGTAATTTACACTCCACTACAAGAGAGACTAGGATCATGTGGTTGGGTCGAGTCTTGTAAAACAGTCAAAGAGCTCTATTTAGCCAGTGACATGCACAGGATGTTGATTTAAAGCTGTATTGGCCCTGGTAAAAAGGTATGCTCTATAAAGGGGATAGGGTGCCCTAAGGGACGCAGCCTAAAGCTACGTTGACTTATCGGTGTTATTTTTGCGGTTGTGATGTTTTTTTCCACTTCACAAAGGTTGCATATGCCCAACTAATGCACGTTACTAAAACATATCCATCCACTGAAGTGACAACATGTCAATGGAAAGTAAACAAGGAGAATTTAGAGTTTAGTGTATCTCTGAAGAATGGATTGATGAAAGATATCCAATACAGTGATGAGTGAAGTTAGCCTACATTTTTAAATAGATTTCAACAAACTAGATTATGATAAGTCAAGCTTTCACCCAGTCATGCATTGATGTCAATGGGAAAATAAGTGAAAATTCGACTTAAGTTTTTCCCCTGTGATGGTACAGCGTGGATGGAGGTTTTATATAGTATGGTATATGGATGTCTGTTGTAAGATAATAATAATAATAATATGCCATTTAGCAGATGCTTTTATCCAAAGTGACTTAAGTCATGTGTGCATACATTTTTACGTATGGGTGGTCCCGGGGATCGAACCCACTACCCTGGCGTTACAAGCGCCATGCTCTACCAATTGAGCTACAGAGGACCACAAATGTTGTAATGGTGGTATGGACCATAAAGTTAGTTTTGAATGGCCCATTGTTCTTGTTCTCTCTGCAGGACATGGAGTTGAGGAACCCATTCAGTATGCTGGACAGCATGATGTTCGGCGTGAGGAACAGGATGGAGGACATGCATAGAAACGTTGTGAGTCACGTTGTGTCTCTTCTCATACCCCACACAGCCCATACAAATGGAATTACTAGAAGGGGCATAGTATGAATTAATTATATTTCTATGACAGACTTTGTTCATCATCGCTTTATAATCACGTCAATCTGTTTGTGTGTGTGTTGTTTTCCAGGAGAACCTGTCCACAGACTCGAACGCCAACACCAACGCCCACTCATTCAGCTCCTCCTCAGTGATGACCTACTCCAAGGTTGGAGACGAACCCCTCAAGGTGTTCCAGGCCTCCTCCCAGACAAGGCGCGCCCCCGGCGGGGTACGTACACTCAAGTATGGCCAGAGATACTGCTGAGGGTCTGGGGGAGGGCTCTCCAAGCTGATACTGCACTGAACACTAAGGAAGAGGTTGTTTACTCGAACCGCAAGCGCTCCGAGCCATATAGAGAGTATATGAAGAGTTTAATTCCAAAACGCTAAATATCCATTTTCAGAAATGTTGGTAAATTTGCTTTTATTGTTTAAAGAAAATATGAAAGAGATTGGTGTGTTTTTTCACTATCTAATCATGGCATGGGGTTGTTCAATGACAGACATGTACAGTATTTGTTTAAAATCTATCACTTGATGGTTTCATTTCAGAGACAAATAATCCAATTTATTTTATCAAAATGCTTTATATTTCTCTCAGAGAAATAAGTAGTACTGCTAGGTTTTACACAGTCAAATGTAACAAATATTGTTTTTGTTTATAAAGAACTGTACAAATTAAACATTTGTGTACAGTAAAATGAGTATGTATCTGTATGTAAAACATTTGTCATTTAGCAGATGCTCTTTCGTCGGGGCATGGACTCTACAAGGTGTCGAAAGCGTTCCACAGGGATGCTGGCCAATGTTGACTCCAATGCTTCCCAAAGTTGTCAAGTTGGCTGGATGTCCTTTGGGTGGTGGACCATTCTTGATACACACGGGAAACCCAGTGTGAAAAACCCAGCACCGTTGCAGTTCTTGACACATTCAAACCGGTGCGCCTGGCACCTACTACCATACCCCGTTCAAAGGCACTTAAATATTTTGTCTTGCACATTCACCCTCTGAATGGCACACATACACAATCCATGTCTCAATTTTCTCAAGGCTTAAAAATCATTATTAAACCTGTCTCCTCCCCTTCATCTACACTGATTGAAGTGGATTTAACAAGTGACATCAATAAGGGATCATAGCTTTCACCTGGATTCACCTGGTCAGTCTATGTCATGGAAAGAGCAGGTATTCATAATCAGTGTATAACGTGTTCATAATCAGTGTATAGCGTTTTGGGAGGTTTTTTTCATACACCTAAAATCTATGAATTAAAGATCTGTATAATATTTTACACACACATGAAGGTACCCATAAGCAATCATATCTGAAGAAAAAACAAATGAGAAAAATTGGTGTATATAGTGTTTTGGAAATAAACTCTTCATATAGAGTTAGGTTTATTTATGTATTTTTTGCATTTACACTAAAATAACATTTGGCCAAACTATATGTCTGACAAAGCAAGAGTTTCCTGACATTGGCTTTCTCAGTCTTTATTGGCCGTCGCCTCTTTGGTAACTCATTCTGATTGGCTGTCCCCGTGTCTAGATTAAGGAGACTCGGCAGTCCCTGAAGGACTCAGAGAGCGGCCTGGAGAAGATGTCCATTGGACACCACATCCAGGACCGAGGACACGTGGTGGAGAAAAAACAGAACAAGAAGACAGGGGAACGGGAGCTCAACCAGGACTTCCAGAATCTAGATGAATGTAAGTCAGCTGTAGTGTAAGGGGGTCAGCATCCCAAAAGAAACTAAAGGGTAACACTTTACTTTAACCCTGCAGGTAATAATAATAATAATATGCCATTTAGCAGACGCTTTTATCCAAAGCGACTTACAGTCATGCGTGCATACATTTTTGTGTATGGGTGGTCCCGGGGTTCGAACCCACTACCTTTGATTATAATGCATTGTAAGACATGTTGTAAGAATGTATCACCCCCTTATGTCTTATTATAATCTCATAATGATCCTTACTTGAGTCCATTGAAAATGTCCTACATAAAGAGACATAACATATTATAAGCCTTATAATAAAACATTACAAAGGCGCATACATGCTTATAACAATAACACATTATACTTGCGGTCTTTAAGTAAAGTGTTACCGGCAATTTATTAGAAGTGTTTTTTATGATGCTTTTCAAGGCATGTATCAGTGTTCGATGAATAGTCATAAACAAAGACATAGAATTTACTATCAGAGGACTCTCCTCTCCCAGCTCTGTTTGGGGTTTGTAGTCTGAGACATTAATTTATGTTCCTATCTCAGACAAAAATAAGGTATTCAGATTCCAAGGAACTGCCCCTCGCCAGGCTTATCACAGCATCCCACAGAGTGATACCTAAACTGTTCCTGACACCTAACCTCTGACCTCTGCCCTTTCCCCTCATAGCCGAGGCGCAGTCCTTTGACGAAGAGTGGCAGCAAGAGGTGTCTAAATTCCGACCATTTGCCCCCATGTCCCGTCTGGAGGCCCCCAAGCCTAGGGTGGTGCACCGGGCAGCCCTCACCGCCGCCACCGGCCTCGACCAGGGACGGAGGTCAGTCATCATGTGTCATAGGTCATATAATGACAGGTCCGCTCGAGGAGGAGTGGCCGTAAACCAAAACAAACCATTTCTGGATGCTACATCACTGAGAATTTAGGTTATGATTGAATTGTCAAATATTATACTACGGTTGATAAACGGTTTATTGAAATTTGGGTTGATGGATGAATGATTTATGTCTGCTTTGTCATTTTCTCCCTCAGGGACAAAGCAAACCCAAAACCTGAAGGAAGGAAAATACACATTGACGATCTCAAAGTCAAAGGCTCAGGCATGATGAAACAGTAGAAATGTCTAGCGAATAAAGATACGTCAGGCAACAACTCTTTGATGCTTTTACCGGTCTCCAAGACGAGCTTGGTTTCCAGGTATTTTGTCTCACAGAAAATCAGACAATGACCCAGTTGTTGATATGCTTTTTACCCTTTCATTTTCACACTACCAAGTAAAGTAAAGAACACTTGTCAAGTCAGGCACTTATTCTGTCAGAGTAGATCCACACAAGCTTCTTCCAGAAAGCTCAGGACTCCTGTGGAAGTAGCATTAAGACATGGACACATAAGCTACTAGCAATATATGTGATATATGATTTCAGAATCATGACATGAGAGCAGACATAATTTGTCACAATTAGATAAAACAGTATATTGGTCTATCATTGGGCATCAGATCAACGCCAATGTTATCTCAGAAATACTATCCTTCTGCTTTTGAAAATGTCATGTTCACATTGTATAGATTGCATCAAAAGGAAACAAACGTATATATTTATGCAGTTAAACATTTGAAGTCCATAAGTGCACTTAGACGTCAAATTTTGTTGCTATTTTTTTTTTAGTGGCCATTGTTTTATTAATGTATTTTATCTGCTGTAATCTTTGTAAAAAATGATAATACCCTTTTTATATTGTTATTTGACGTGGGGTTCTCTTGTTTTTCACCATGCTATTAATGTATACCCTAAAACACTGAATTTGAATGAAAGTATCCGGTTCATTCTGAAATATTCTTATCATGGGATTCTTATAGATTGACCTCATAAGATCTGCAATTTGAAATTGGTAGTGTAGTCTATTCTTAAAACTGAGCGTGTATTTTGAAGGTTCCAAAACATCCTTGTATTTTACTAGTCATCAAGCAGTGTGTTTATCACAGGGTATCTAGCAGGGTATTGTTTGGAACAGACCTGTCAGTGACTCAGGGATGTCTGAGAGGTCGCACACAGCTGTTATGAAACCAGCGCACTCTCACGTCACATGCCCCAACATGTGCTCCTGATTTAGTTGAACTTGTGTTTTTGTCTCCTTGCATTTATATAAAGTGTGAAAATATATTATGGAATCACCTATGACGTTAACTCAACACTTTTCCATATATGCAGGCTTCTCAATTAGAAGTTAAGAGGCAGGGTAGGGAGGGAGGGGAGCGGTTGGGTCACAGTGGTGGCCTCATCTCAGGTTTCACAGGACAAAGTGCCATAACTGCTCAGTGTGTATATGTAACAAAGTAAATGGCCCATCTAGCTTAACAGAGATGCAGAAATTAGCCAAGTCAGTAATATCGTCTGGGTGTTGGGATTCAGAGGGAATGTGTGAAGTGGCTTCCTCTCCTCGATTTGCAATGATCTAACTGTGACAAAACATGATAGGTAAAAGAGATTCAAATGATGGCTCATGGATGCCTACCGAGAATTTGCTTTCCCCTGACCAGTTCCATCACCTCAGGGCAGGTGAAGGAAAGGAGACAAGAGGAGGCCGTTCTAGACTATTTACCTCTAGTCTCGCGAAGCCATCCTTTCATAACTTGTCGGAACCGTCCCTTTTTCAGGACCCTGTCTTTCAAAGATAATTAGCACAAATCCAAATAACTTCACAGATCTTCATTGTAAAGGGTTTAAACACTATTTCCCATGCTTGTTCAATTAACCATAAACAATTAATGAACATGCACCTGTGGAACAGTCGTTAAGACACTAACAGCTTACAGACGGTAGGCAATTAAGGTCACAGTTATGAAAACTTAATTGCAATGTCCGTACTGTGAGACGCCTAAGACAGTGCTACAGGGAGACAGGACTGACAGCTGATCGTCCTCGCAGTGGCAGACCACGTGTAACAACACATGCACAGGATCGGTACATCCGAACATCACACCTGCGGGACCGGTACAGGATGGCAACAACAACTGCCCGAGTTACACTAGGAATGCACAATCCCTCCATCAGTGCTCAGACTGTCCGCAATAGGCTGAGAGAGGCTGGACTGAGGGCTTGTAGGCCTGTTGTAAGGCAGGTCCTCACCAGACATCACCGGCAACAACATCACCTGTGGGCACAAACCCACCGTCGCTGGACCAGACAGGACTGGCAAAAGGTGCTCTTCACTGATGAGTCGCGGTTTTGTCTCACCAGGGGTGATGGTCGGATTTGCGTTTATCGTCGAAGGAATGAGCGTTACACCGAGGCCTGTACTCTGGAGCGGGATCGATTTAAAGGTGGAGGGTCCGTCATGGTCTGGGGCGGTGTGTCACAGCATCATCGGACTGAGCTTGTTGTCATTGCAGGCAATCTCAATGCTGTGCATTACAGGGAAGACATCGTCCTCCCTCATGTGGTATCCTTCCTGCAGGCTCATCCTAACATGACCCTCCAGCATGACAATGCCACCAGCCATACTGCTCATTCTGTGCGTGATTTCCTGCAAGACAGGAATGTCAGTGTTCTGCCATGGCCAGCGAAGAGCCCGGATCTCAATCCCATTGAGCATGTCTGGGACCTGTTGGATCGGAGGGTGAGGGCTAGGGCCATTCCCCCCAGAAATGTCCGGGAACTTGCAGGTGCCTTGGTGGAAGAGTGGGGTAACATCTCACAGCAAGAACTGGCAAATCTGGTGCAGTCCATGAGGAGGAGATGCACTGCAGTACTTAATGCAGCTGGTGGCCACACCAGATACTGTTACTTTTGATTTTACCTCTCCCTCAACGTGATCAAAACAAAGGAGATGATTGAGGACTACAGAAAAAAAAAGAGGACTGAGCACGCCCCCATTCTCATCGACCGGGCTGTAGTGGAACAGGTTGAGAGCTTCAAGTTCCTTGGTGTCCACATCACCAACAAACTATCATGGTCCAAACACACCAGTACAGTCGTGAAGAGGGCACGACAAAGCCTATTCCCCCTCAGGAGACTGAAAAGATTTGGCATGGGTCCTCAGATCCTCAAAAGGTTCTACAGCTGCACCATCAAGAGCATCCTGACTGGTTGCATCACCGCCTGGTATGGCAACTGCTCGGCCTTCGACCGCAAGGCACTACAGAGGGTAGTGCGTACGGCACAGTACATCACTGGGGCCAAGCTTCCTGCCATCCAGGACCTCTATACCAGGCGGTGTCAGAGGAAGGCCCTAAAAATTATCAAAGACTACAGCCACCCTAGTCATAGACTGTTCTCTCTGCTACCCCACGGCAAGCAGTACCGGAGCGCCAAGTCTAGGTCCAAAAGGCTTCTTAACAGCTTCTACCTCCAAGCCATAAGACTCCTGACCAGCTAATTATGGCTACCCAGACTATTTACATTGCCCCCCCCCCTCCGACCTCATGGCTTGTTTTTTGCTCTGACATGCACTGTCAACTGTGGGACCTTATATAGACAGGTGTGTGCCTTTCCAAATCCTGTCCAATTAATTGAATTTACCACAGGTGGACTCCAATCAAGTTGTAGAAACATCTCAAGGATGATCAATGGAAACAGGATGCACCTGAGCTCAATTTCGAGTCTCATAGCAAAGTGTCTGAATACTTATGTAAATGATATATATATACACACACACAGTAGCAGTCTGTTGTGAGCATTGACGTCAGTATGCAACCCGCAAAGTGGGTCAGCTCCTCTGATAAGCCCTCAATCCTTCCTTACTGCCTTAATGTGCCTTATTATTTTTAATAATTTTGCAAACATTTCAAAAAAACTGTTTTCGTTTTGTCATTATGGGGTATTGTGTGTAGATTGATGAGGAAAAAAATAATTTAATCAATTTTAGAATAAGGCTGTAACGTAACAAAATGTGGAAAAAAGGGAAGGGGTCGGAATACTTTTCGAATGCACTTTATAAGGAAATCAGTCAATTGAAATAAATAAATTAGGCCCTTGTTTATGGATTTCACAAAGTAGGGGCGTGGATCAGAAAACCAGTCAGTATCTGGTGTGACCACCATTTGCCTCATGCTGCCATGACACATCTCCTTTGCATAGAGTTGATCAGGCTGTTGATTGTGGCCTGTTGAATGTTGTCCCACTCCTCTTCAATGGCTGTGAAGTTGCTGGATATTAGCGGGAAGTGGTACACGCAGTCGTACACGTCGATCCAGAGCATCCCAAACATGCTCAATTGGTGATATGTCTGTTGAGTATGCAGGCCATGGAAGAACTTGGACATTTTCAGCTTCCGGGAATTGTGTACAGATCCTTGCGACATGGGGCCGTGCATTATCATGCTGAAACATGAGGTAATTGCGGCGGATGAATGGCACGACAATGGGCTGCCCATACCATAACCCCACCGCTACCATGGGGCACTCTGTTCACAACGTTGACATCAGCAAATCGCTCGCCCACACGACACCATACACGTGGTCTGTGGTTGTGAGGCCAGTTGGACGTACTGCCAAATTGTCTAAAACAACTTTGGAGGCAGGCTATGGTAGAGAAATTAACATTCAATTTTCTGGCAACAGCTCTGGTGGACATTCCTGCAGCCAGCATGCCAATTGCACACTCCCTCAAAACTTGAGACATCTGTGGCATTATGTTGTGCGACAAAACTGCATATTTTATAATGGCCTTTTGTCCCCAGCACAAGGTGCACCTGTGTAATGATCATGCTATTTAATCAGCTTCTTGATATGCCACACCTGTCAGGTGGATGGATTATCTTGGCAAATGAGAAATGCTCACTAACAGGGATGTTAACAAATTTGTGCGCAAGATTTGAAAGAATTACATTTTTTGTGTGTATGGAACATTTCTGGGATCTTTTATTTCAGCTCATGAAACATGGGAGCAACACTTCACATGTTGTGTTTATATTTTTTGTTCAGTGCATTTGGAAAGTATTCATACCCCTTGACTTGTTCCACATTTTGTTATGTTGCAGCCTTATTCTAAAATGGATTCAATGGGTTTTTTCCCTCATCAATCTCATTCTTCTCTGCAGATCCTCTCAAGAAACATCTCAAGGATGATCAATGGAAACAGGATGCACCTGAGCTCAATTTTGAGTCTCATAGCAAAGGGTCTGAATACTTATGTAAATAATGTATTTCAGTGTTTCATTTTTAGTACATTTCTAAAAATGTCTAAAAACCTGTTTTCGCTTTGTCAATATGGGGTATTGTGTGTAGATTGAGGGAAAATGATCATTTAATCCATTTTAGAATAAGGCTGTAACGTAACAAAATGTGGGAAAGGGGAAGGGGCCTGAATGTATGTAAAAGTAAGAGACAAATTAAGTGAGTGAAAAAGGTTTATTATAATTAAGACAAAGCTACTCTGCCACACAGATGTTTTGCAGTTTGGTTGAATAGTAGCTGCTCTTGGATAGCGTTGGTACAGAATTCCCAACTCATGACTCGGTCACCCTTCTGGTGGTCATATTAGGTCATTTGCTCTACTTGTGACAAAACACTAATATTTACACGTTAGGGCATACAAACTTGACTAATGCTGAACTCCGCAGTAGCTGTGGTCAAAATGATCCGACACGTTCATTTCTCTTGAATTCTGCCAGAATGTGGACCACCAGAGTCCGGCGCGCTATATGGTTGGGAAAACGTACCTCAATCCAGAGATGGACTGTTTTGCTGTACTCCTAATCATCCCTAAATTATGAATGGTGAATCGAGAAGATTGAAATACTGCTAGTTTTTTTTTATTATTAACCATACCCTTTGTCAGTGTGCTAGGTTAGCTAAAGATATAGCAACCCATTTGATTCAACAACACTTCCGTTGTGTTGTTGAATTCCCCCCAACGCTAGCAGTCATATTTTAATAGAATCCAATGGGCTGCTATAGCATTAGCTAGCCTAGCATGCTGACGAAAACGGTCCACATTCTGGCATAGCACCATTCCGACTCGAGAGAAATGAACGAGAGTCGGATCATTTTGGCTACATCAGCGGGAAACGGCGCCACAGCCTTCCCACCTCCGTTAATGTTTTTGTGGCGGAGCTCAGAAGCGTGAAGCAGCATGGTAAAAAAAAAAGCTGTACATATTGATGTTGTGGTCTTCTGTCGCGCATGATGTCAGAGGGGAAAAAACAGTGTCAACTTCGTTGTTGTAATATAGCAAACAGACGTGGTTGTTTCACCATAGGGGATTGCAGCTTTAAGTGTTTATTTTCTGTTTTTTTCTCTTTTTTTGGGGGGGGGGGGCTAACAAAATAGAAATGTGGACCGGCTTGTAAAAATACTATTGTACAAAAGGCTGTGATGTATTTGTAGTTAATCATATCAGTAATGTTAGTTCATTATATCAGAGCTGTAGCTCCGCCCACCGGTGAAGTGGAGCAGAGCATGCAGGGCGATCTCCAGCTCGAGAGAAGATCAGCTCGAGAGAAGTCAAGTGAGAGAAAGTTCCAGCCATCCTTGTCTTCCCAACAGTTAGCTTTCATTGTGTTAGCCAAGGCCAGTGTGCGTCCTTGTTGATATATACACACACACTTTGGTTGAAGCAAGTTGCCAGACCACTAAGTGCCTTAGCCCATCCATACTACATACACAGTGCGGTGCTGTTCCGTGCCTGTGCATGTTCAGCATTATTAAACCACCTCAACTGGAATCCTACCGGTCTGTCATCTGTGCCCTTAACAGTACACGGGACCGAACACAAAGTAAAACCTAACCTAAAGAATGTACAGTCCACCAAGTCCTCACTTACAACTATAGCAACTTTAGTTCAACGCCTAGTGACTTCGTCAAGACCCCATTGTTGTCAAACGTGGGATAGCGTTGTTGAAAACATGATTGGCCGGGTCTGAGGCACAGTTTGTTTTCCATAATATGAGGAAGTTGTGTATCTCATTACTTGATGCTTGAGGACATTATTTTTGCTACTTTTCAGATTTTGGGGTGGAAGAAAAGTGAAGAGGGGCATCCGTTAAACAGTGAATCAACTTTGTATGTCCTTATCAATCATTACAAAAAAAAATACAAATAACTTTAGAAAAAGGAACAACCATGTGATAGTATAATGAAATGCCCATTTCTACAGGATTCCTTGTGGCTGGCCCTTTCCTGCGATTTTCTTGGAGCACTCCAATAAAGCGTTGTGAATGTCTTTGGCGCAGGAGATCTGTGACTTGATCATGCTGAGGTACTGTGAGTAGGACAGGGACTCTGTCTGTACGGTGTCAGGCTTGGTGGCTGTTGGGACCAGGTTAGGAGAGTGTTTGGCACTGTCAATGCTCTGGGATAAACACTCGTAGGCAAGCCGCTATGGGGGAAGAAAAGAGGAGTAATAGTGAGCGGATGACCAGGCTGCCAGCTTTATCGATTTATAAACTATACTGTATGTTATGGTGAATTATGCTCTGCACTCTAAAAGCCAAATAGAAATAAGACATTTGTGTAGTAATAAGAGGTGGTGAACAATTTCATTTTGTGTGTGTGTGCCTTACTAAGCAGAGTTCCAGCTGATCGCACAGGGCATAAAACTCTTCCAGACTCTTGTCAAACCGCTGTACACTGGCATCACTGCTCTTTCTGAAACACAAAGGCATTAGGAAAGTTGTGCATCTCCAGCTCCAGAAAATACACACTTATAAACTGTATGTGCCATTTAGAGTTTGGGGAAAAAGGGTACTTACATGCCATTGTCAATTGATGTATTATGTCCCAAATTTAAAGAGGCAATCTTCATGACATTCTAGACAGAAAATAATGCTTAGTTAGCCTATATTCGGTTTAGCTACATTTTGCAATACCTGTACATAGCTATATGCATAATATTTTGTTACTATGCAAACATATTATATTCCATTAAAAAGCATTATCCCCCTATTCTCTGTCTCTGACCACTATTTGCAGTTCAACTTAAAAAGGTAGTCATTAAAAATATTGCCTAGTCAGACTATTACTACTGTTCCAGCTGGCTGATAGGCATTATTATTGAGGTAGTGTAAAGCATAGCACAGAGAATTTGACCAACCTTTACTTGTCGATACTTCCTCAATTCCCGAGATGCAAGACAACGCATTGCTAGTTGCAGATGTTTCATTTGAATTCATAAAAATGCACTGTTATTAAATCAATGTTTTGCTCCATGAAGTAATCCAACAATGTGTACGCCGCCATCTTGTCTATTTAAAATATTCTCTCATTGATTGAGACAGGTGGGTGTCCACCCCAAAGTTCTGCATGTCATGAATGCGACTCAGAAATCTTGAATGCAGTGGTTGAATTGGGCAGGGTCCTAGACCCTGCACATATGATCCAAATCAGAGACAGGTGGGGCTCTGGCACCTTTGGTAATGCTAATTTTGAATTATATAATGAAAAATTGTTGTTGTTCACATTGAATATTTCCTCAGCCAACAACATGAGTAATCAACAGCAGACAACCCCATAGTAGAAGAGTTTACCTATTCAATTGGTCAGCTTGTCGCATTATATGGGAGAAAATAATATTCCTCTGGGCGCTTTCAAATTGCGAGTGGCACAGAGGGAAAAACATGGATGGCCAGTCATTGCACAACATTCTTAATTAATGCAGTCATGGGAAAACACTTTTGAAAGCAGTTTAATTGCCACTGTTAAAAGAGTAGGTTCACAGCTTTCTATTCTACCAAAAATTTGCCAGTTGGACCATTTTAAACCAGGGTTTTTAGCTTCCTCCCCTTGTCACTGGGCGCTTAACTGGGTAGTAAGTTTCTTACCTCGGTTTGCCCAGTGTTGTTAATTTCTGCCGGGAGTGCAACCAGCATGCAACTTTGCTAAACTGCCTACAGTAAGTTCATCTTTTGCATTTGAAAGATTATTTCTCGCTGATGTGAAAGTTACGTTTAAAGGTTTTCCAAAACCGTATCGCAAGCAGGATTATTAACGTTCCTAAACGTTACAACTGAGCGTCAGTATTGTAGTTAATTGATCCAGTTGTTATATGCCTGATTGACAACTCTAAGGCTGGTTAAGGCTCGAGTTCTCTTGAGCTAGTCAGCTGGCTACATCCTTGGCTGAGTGCCACCCGTACGCCCCGAACAGGACCCCCCACCTCCCAAAGTAACCACTGGTTGAATGACACTCACCTGTCTCAATCAATGAGAAGATTTGAAATAGACAGATCGCAGCGTACACATTGTTGGATTACTGGAAGGATCGCCAAGTAAAGGTTGGTCTAAAATTCCCCTTTTCCCCTCTGTGTGGCAGTGAAGAGACCTGACTGACTGATCAGCCATTGTTACCAGCTCATGTAAACAAAACGCGGAGTACCTGGAGGCTCTCTTTTAATTGTGGAATAAGCATTTTGAATCGATGAACAGGGTCGAAATCTTGCTGTTGACTCAACTGCTGTTGTTGAAGTGTAGCAGCTTGCTGTATTCCAACTTGGGGAATCGGTCCACCGGGTTGTTGCTGCGCTGCCATTTTGGTGAACTTCTTCTTTGGTGAGACTTTTACGGGGGACTACATCCTTTCATGGTGTGTTGCCGCCACCTACTGGGTGGGGTGAAAACTGAAACTTTAACCCCAAAGATAAATAGTAATGGCGTCTTTTTTGGATACTTTTTTTAGGCACTGACTCTGCCATGGTTCGTTGGACAAAGCCTATGAGGAAAATGATGGCGTTTTTGTAGGATTTGTAACGCCGAAAATAAGGTCTGTGGTAAACATAGTCTTAGGAGATCTTATACGTTTTGTTCTATGAGACGTTTTGTGAATTTTGAAAAAGTTATGTAACAATAAAAACACAAATCACAAATGCTTCATAATTCATAAAGGTCATGTTAATTGACTGCTATTATCTCATAGAACAAAGCCTATAAGATCTCCTAAGCCTGTGTTAACCTCAAACGTTATTTTTCAGCGTTTATTCCAAAACCATATTCTTTCCCCATTCATTTTTAAGAATCTCTGGAGTAACTATCTAATATTAGGTAAATGTAGTAATTAATAAATTGGCTAAATGTATTTAAATAATGTGGTCCTAGCTCAGCTGGTAGAGCACGGCGCTTGTAACGCCAAGGTAGTGGGTTCGATCCCCGGGAACACCCATACACAAAAATGTATGCACGCATGACTGTAAGTCGCTTTGGATAAAAGCGTCTGCTAAATGGCATATTATTATTATTATTATTATTATTATTATTATAAATAACAATTATCTGAACTGTCTTGGGCTAGTTTTAAATTTACACAATAGCTGTTAGTAAAGGTGTCAGCTATAGATGAAGTGCAGGAGCTTGCAGGGATTTGTAGTCTTGAATGGTCTGTTTTGATGCTAATTTACATTTTCGAATCTGAGAGTAAATAAAGCTGAATATATTGATAAAAGTCACCTTGTCCGAAAGAGATTTACATGGTTATCAAAAAGTTAATGCTAGAGTTAGCCTACACGAAGCACAGCCCTTATTCCCCCTCAGATCCTCAAAAAATTATACAGCTGCACCATCGAGAGCATCCTGACTGGTTGCATCACCGCCTGGTATGGCAACTGCTTGGCCTCCGACCGCAAGGCACTACAGAGGGTAGTGCGTACGGCCCAGTACATCACTGGGGCCAAGCTTCCTGCCATCCAGGACCTCTATACCAGGCGGTGTCAGAGGAAGGCCCTCAAAATTGTCAAAGACTCCAGCCACCCTAGTGATAGACTGTTCTCCCTGCTACCGCACAGCAAGCGGTACCGGAGTGCCAAGTCTAGGTCCAAAAGACTTCTCAACAGCTTCTACCCCCAAGCCATAAGACTCCTGAACAGCTAATCATGGCTACCCGGACTATTTGCACTGCCCCCCCCCCCCCCCACCCCATCCTTTTTACGCTGCTGCTACTACTCTGTTAATTATTTATGCATAGTCACTTTAACTCTACCCACATGTACATATTACTTCAACTATCTCAACTAGCCGGTGCCCCCGCACATTGACTCTGCACCGGTACCCCCCTGTATATATAGCCTCCCTACTGTTATTTTATTTTACTTCTGCTCTTTTTTTCTCAACACTTTTTGTTGTTGTTGTTTTATTTTTACTTTTTTTGTTAAAAATAAATGCACTGTTGGTTAGGGGCTGTAAGTAAGCATTTCACTGTAATGTCTGCACCTGTTGTATTCGGCGCATGTGATCAATAAAATTTGATTTGATTTGATTTTAAGTTTTTCTAAAAATCCCCTATAGGAAAATGAATGGTGTAAAAAAGATTGGAACAATTTCACTGTTTGACCGCTAGGTGTAATCAGGGACGGCCTGTTCAATAGGGCGATATGGGCGACGCACTGCCAAACGGGAAAAGGAAGGGATTTTTTTTCTAATCAATTATATCACGGCAACAGTAGTTATCAGTGTTCTAATCTGATCTGACTGCCACTAAATGTCAAATCAGGCTAAAGTCGTGCTTCAAATGGCCCCGCCCGTTTTTGGGGCGATTTCAGTCAGGTTGAAAATCGCCCAGAAGTCTCTCATAGCCTGTCATGTAAAATCTATTTTTTTCAAATTTCAATATAATCTCTATGGGTGTCTGTGGGCTTGCACTTACGCGCTTTCGTCATACGTGACGTAACCATGAACGTAACTAAGAAAATAGCGGCTAGCAGCGTCTCTGTTGCGACCTGCAGTGTGGCGTTATCTTATGTTTTTAATTTGTACACTTAGTGGCGTTATTTTATGTTTTTAATTTGTAGACTTAGTTTACAAACATTCTGCCAACCATGGATTTCCAGTGGTGGGTTTTGGACTGATCTTGTTGATCGTGTACATACCCGCTACGAACGGACTAAATAATGAAAACGCTGCTGGCAGCGGAATCCAATACAGCTGGGAGACTTGGCTGGATGACAGAGTCCCGGACAGAGAAGTGGAGCCGGCCGGCTTCACCCTGGTCAGAGCGGACCGCGATCCTGGTAAGAGAGCGACTCTGTACCCCCGACATTGAACTGCTTTCTGTGTCACTGCGACCTTACTATCTGCCCCGTGAGTTCCCCCAATTGTTTGTTACCGTTGTGTACTGTTGATAATCACAAGTTTACTGGAGAACTGAGACCAAGTAGAGACTTTGGACAGGGTGGATATGGTATAATAAAGGCAGTTTATTCAGAGGTAAAGATATCTGGAATCGCGTGCACGGACTCGTTCGTCAAACTCTTAGGGAGCTATCTGAAGAGAGCCCCGAAAACATTGTGTGCAGACATTTTATACAATAAATGATGTAGGTTGAATCTAGTAGTTCTGATCTTCTGATTGGTCCTGATGAGTTGGGCGAGGTCCCCTCCACTGTTGCATTGGCTCTGAGTCGGGTTCTCTGTCTTCAAATGTTCAGCCTAAAGAGAGGGGATTTTTGTGTGTGTGTGTGTGTGTGTTATCAGTGATGATGTGTGTGTGTGTGTGTGTGTGTGTGTCCTCAGAGCAAGAACTCGTGAGTTGGAAGAACTGAGAGACCTATGGCGTGGGTGTTGTCCTTGGCCACCTGCTGACAAGGCTGACAAGATAGGACTCTTTTGTCCATTGTTATAGGATAGGAACAGCATTGATTGAAAACAAACGCCCAACACAAAATGGGTCATGCACAAGATTTTAGTCAGACCAAGCTATAACATTATATATTTACTACGACAGTACATTCAACCAAAAGCTAATATAACAAAGGCATCAGAGATTATTTATAATCTGTCACAGAAACTGGAATCCATCTCCCCAGATCAGTCAATAAATGCTTCTGGTATTGACTTATATGCTGCCCCTGTCTTCATGTTGTTGCTGGACATATCTTTTTTAAAATGTGTGTAGGTCACCTAAATCATCAGAAAAATTGCCCCTCCTGAGAATTTTTTCAGGAGCCGCCACTGGGTGTAATGGGTATTACGACACCTCCACTGTGGGGATCTATTCAACACTCGCTCATTGACCTCCATACAAAAACTCCTTGCTAGGTAAGCGAAAAAAACGAAAATCGCCACCTGCTGGAGAAGACAGATTTCAAACCCACTTATTCCTCTCGCGTCATAATAATAATAATAATACATAAACTAAAAAAGCCAACAAAATGTTCAGTCTTATTCAAATGTCTTCTCAGATCCGTACACAGACCCTGGGGCCTTTTTGGTGAACTTGCAAATCCAGTGAGAACATCAACTACCGGTATCATACTCTCTGGCATTCCACAATAACCACACAGTCAAAATTGGCTATATCGTAAAAATTTTGAAAAATAAAAAATAGTTTAGGGTTAGCAGTGTGGTTAAGGTTAGAGTTGGGTCAGCCACGCTCAAGGTCCTAAACTATATAATAACCGCGATCGATAAAAGACAGTACTGTGCAGCCGTCTTCATCAACCTGGCCAAGGCTTTTGACTCTGTCAATCACCGCATTCTTACTGGCAGACTAAATAGCCTTGGTTTCTCAAATGACTGCCTCGCCTGGTTCACCAACTACTTCTCAGATAGAGTTCAATGTGTCAAATCGGAGGGCCTGTTGTCTGGACCTCTGGCAGTCTCTATGGGGGTGCCACAGGGTTCAATTCTCGGGCCGACTCTATTCTCTGTGTATATCAATGATGTCGCTCTTGCTGCTGGTGACTCTCAGATCCACCTCTACGCAGACGACACCATTTTGTATACATCTGGCCCTTCATTGGACACTGTGTTAACAAACCAACAAACGAACTTCAATGCCATACAACACTCCTTCCGTGGCCTCCAACTGATCTTAAACGCTAGTAAAACTAAATGCATGCTCTTCAATCGAACGCTGCTTACACCCGCCCGCCCGACTAGAATCACTACTCTCGGCGGGTCTGACTTAGAATATGTGGACATCTACAAATACCTAGGTGTCTGGTTAGACCGTAAACTCTCCTTCCAGATCCAGACTCACATTAAGCATCTCCAATCCAAAGTTAAATCTAGAATCTGCTTCCTATTTCGCAACAAAGCCTCCTTCACTCATGCTGCTAAACATGTCCTCGTAAAACGGACTATCCTACCGATCCTTGACTTCGGCGATGTCATTTACAAAATAGCCTCCAAAACTCTACTCAGAAAATTGGATGTAGTCTATCACAGTGCCATCCGTTTTGTCACCAAAGCCCCATATACTACCCATCATTGTGACCTGTACGATCTCGTTGGCTGGCCCTCACTACATATTCGTCGCCAAACCCACTGGCTCCAGGTCATCTATAAATCACTTCTAGGCAAATCCCCGCCTTATCTTAGATCATTAATCACCATAGCAACACCCACCCGTAGTATGCGTTCCAGCAGGTATATCTCACTGGTCATCCCCAAAGCCAACACCTCCTTTGGTCGCCATTCCTTCCAGTTCTCTGCTGCAAATGACTGGAAGGAACTGCAAAAATCTCTGAAGCTAGAGACACTTATCTCCCTCACTAGCTTTAAGCATCAGTTGTCAGAGCAGCTTACTGATCACTGCACCTGTACACAGCCCATCTGTAATTAGCCCACCCAACTACCTCATCCCCATATTGTTATTGACATTGTTATTTATTTTGCTCATTTGCACCCCAGTATCTCTATTTGCACATCATCTTCTGCACATCTATCACTCCAGTGTTAATACTAAATGATGGCCTATTTATTGCCTTACCTCCATAACTTACTACATTTGCACACGCTGTATATAGATTTTCTACTGTGTTATTGACTGTACGTTTTGTTTTTGTTTATTCCATATGTAACTCTGTGTTGTTGTTTTTATCGCACTGCTTTGCTTTATCTTGGCCAGGTCGCAGTTGTAAATGAGAACTTGTTCTCAACTGGCTTACCTGGTTAAATAAAGGTGAAATTTTAAAATTTTAGAGAGTTGAGGTTAGGGTTAGGTTTAAATTCCGATTTTAAGAAGATAAATTGTAGAAATAGGCGGGGTTTAGGACTTTGTGACTGGTAACTAGTGACCACCATAAAAAGCCGTAGAGAAAAAGGCCCCTAGTGACTGCAGCCGAGAGGTTTTTGGGGGTCCCAGACTTAACGTACGGTCGCCAGGAAATGTCCCGCCATAACAAGCTCCTTCTGAGCCTGTGTGGAAACCTGATTAATACAGAAAAGCAGGCAGATTTAGTCTAAATAACATTTCGTTATTGATAGTTTGTAGGGATTTTTTTTATTTTGTTTTTTACCCTGCATTTTTTCCCTTTTCGGATCTTTATTATACACCTGTACAGTAGGTGGCGGAATGCATATATAATTGTTGCGAACGCCATTATACCAAAGAAGAAGAAAAAGACGAAGAACCAGAAGAACCAGAACCCTAGTGAATCGCTTTTCGCTAACTGCAGTCCAAAATGGCAGGAGCTGACGGAGACGATTCTCTCTACCCCATCGCCGTGCTCATTGACGAGCTTCGTAATGAGGATGTGCAGGTAATCACCGATGCTCTGTTCATAAGACGTTCATATGGGATGTTATATTGGTGGTATTTGTTTTACTTGATCGTGTCTGATTTAAAAAAGGATAGCAAGTTAACGCTAGCTAACATCCCGAGGCCCCTGGCCTTGGCCTGTTCATCTCAGCCTGGTGCACCCAGCCTGGCTAACTGGATAGCGTGTTACTTAGTGTGATAAATATCAAACGGAATAGCTGCATGTCGTATTTAGTTAATGCCATTTATAACTAAGTAGTTATTTGTCGGTGTAAAAGTAATTGGTGTTAGCTAACGTTAGCTAGTTGCTAGGTCACTTGGTTAACTAGCTAGTTTGCTGCTGGGCTACTGTATCACTATTAGCAGCTAACTAGTTAATAAACGTTATCTAACTAGCTCAAATTCGCATGTTAATTTGCAGATGAACCTACTTACTTGTTTTGTTACTGAAATATCAAAATGTACAATGCACACAACGTTACTGTAAGCTCATATGTCTATAGCTGCTAACTACATAGCTTCCTTGTTGTACCTGCCGGTCATCCAGCTCCACACTGGTAATGGTTGTGAGATTATCATTCTTTTAATGTTGTAACAAACTAGTTAGCTAGGTAACTACTGACATGGTTAGTTATGTACTATATCTGCATCTTGCTTTGGTGTCTCTGAAATCATTACAAAAACACAGATTTTCTATACAGATTTTCTAAAAAGGTTTTATGTTCATAGAAGGCACCAAAATGGGAATACATTTTCTAATATGAAATGTTGAAATCAAATTTTATTTGCCACATGCGCCGAATACAACAGGTATTGACCTTACAGTGAAATGCTTATTTACAAGCCCTTAACCAACAATGAAGAAAAAAACGGTTAAAAAACGGTTAAGTAAAATTTTTAAATAGCAAATAATTAAAGAGCAGCAGTAAAATAAAATAACAGTAGGGAGGCTATTTACAGGGGGTACTGGTTCAGAGTCAATGTGCGGGGGCACCGGTTAGTCGAGATACTTGAGGTAATATGTACATGTGGGTAGAGTTAATGTGACTATGCATAGATAATAAACAGAGTAGTAGCAGAGTAAAAGAGGGGGTTGGGTGGGGGGGGCAATGCAAATAGTCTGGGTAGCCATAATTAGCTGTTCAGGAGTCTTATGGCTTGGGGGTAGAAGCTGTTAAAAAGCCTTTTGGGCCTAGACTTGGCGCTCCGGTAGCAGAGAGAACAGTGTATGACTAGGGTGGCTGGAGTCTTTGACAATTTTTAGGGTCTTCCTCTGACAACGCCTGGTATAGAGGTCCTGGATGGCAGGAAGCTTGACCCCAGTGATGTACTGGGCCGTACGCACTACCCTCTGTAGTGCCTTGCGGTCGAAGGCCGAGCAGTTGCCATACCAGGCAGTGATGCAACCAGTCAGGATGCTCTTGATGGTGCAGCTGTAGAACCTTTTGAGGATCTGAGGACCCATGCCAAATCTTTTCAGTCTCCTGAGGGGGAATAGGCTTTGTCGTGCCCTCTTCACGACTGTCTTGGTGTGTTTGGACCATGATAGTTTGTTGGTGATGTGGACACCAAGGAACTTGAAGCTCTCAACCTGTTCCACTACAGCCCCATTGATGAGAATGGGGGCGTGCTCAGTCCTCTTTTTCTGTAGTCTATTTCAGGTCTGAAATAGTATTTCTAGATGGCCTCACTGAAATGCTAAGATTGTCTTTATGGATAATGGTGGCCTCTTATAAGTTTCATGTAATAACATCTCCTGGTATTGTTTACTTTCCAAGCTGCGACTGAACAGCATCAAGAAGCTGTCTACCATCGCACTGGCCCTGGGAGTGGAGAGGACCCGCACTGAACTCCTCCCCTTCCTCACAGGTACAGTGCATTCGGAAAGTATTCAGACCCCTTGACTTTTTCCACATTTTGTTATGTTACAGCCCTATTCTAAAATTGATTAAATAAAAACATTTCCTCATCAATCTACACACAATACCCCATAATGACGAAGCGAAAACAGGTAGGCAGAAATGTTTGCACATTTATTTATATATACAGTACCAGGCAAAAATTTGGACACCTTTTTTTACTATTTGTACATTATAGAATAATAGTGAAGACATAAAAACTATGAAATTACACATATTGAGTCATGTAGTAGCCCAAAAAGTGTTAAACAAATCAAAATATATTTAATATTTGAAATTCTTCAAAGTAGCCACCCTTTGCCTTTGATGACAGCTTTGCACACTCTTGGCATTCTCTCAACCGGCTTCATGAGGAATGCTTTAACAACAGTCTTGAAGGAGTTCCAACATATGCTGAGCACTTGTTGACTGCTTTTCCTTCACTCTGCGGTCCAACACATGGTTAGAAGATGTTATTGCGAGTGTAGCGAAATGCTTGTGCTTCTAGTTCCGACAGTGCAGCAATATCTAGCAAGTAATATCTAACAGTTCTACAACAACCTAATACACACATCTAAGTAAAGGAATGGAATAAGAATATATAAATATATGGATGAGCAATGTCATTTTCATTATCAGAGTGGCATAGTTTAAGATGCAATAGATATGTACAGTGGGGAGAACAAGTATTTGATACACTGACGATTTTGCAGGTTTTCCTACTTACAAAGCATGTAGAGGTCTGCTGTGTGTCTTTTTTTATCATAGGTACACTTCAACTGTGAGAGACGGAATCTAAAACAAAAATCCAGAAAATCACATTGTATGATTTTTAAGTAATCAATTAGCATTTTATTGCATGACATAAATATTTGATCACCTACCAACCAGTAAGAATTCCGGCTCTCACAGACCTGTTAGTTTTTCTTTAAGAAGCCCTCCTGTTCTCCACTCATTACCTGTATTAACTGCACCTGTTTGAACTCATAACCTGTATAAAAGACACCTGTCCACACACTCAATCAAACAGACTCCAACCTCTCCACAATGGCCAAGACCAGAGAGCTGTATAAGGACACCAGGGATAAAATTGTAGACCTGCACAAGGCTGGGATGGGCTACAGGACAATAGGCAAGCAGCTTGGTGAGAAGGCAACAACTGTTGGCGCAATTATTAGAAAATGAAAGAAGTTCAAGATGACGGTCAATCACCCTCGGTCTGGGGCTCCATGCAAGATCTCAACTCGTGGGGCATCAATGATCATGAGGAAGGTGAGGGATCAGCCCAGAACTACACGGCAGGACCTGTTCAATGACCTGAAGAGAGCTGGGACCAAAGAAAACCATTAGTAACACACTACGCCGTCATGGATTAAAATCCTGCAGCGCACGCAAGGTCCCCCTGCTCAAGCCAGCACATGTCCAGGCCCGTCTGAAGTTTGCCAATGACCATCTGGATGATCCAGAGGAGGAATGGGAGAAGGTCATGTGGTCTGATGAGACAAAAATAGAGATTTTTGGTCTAAACTCCACTCGCCGTGTTTTGAGGAAGAAGAAGGATGAGTACAACCCCAAGAACATCATCCCAACCGTGAAGCATGGAGGTGGAAACATCATTCTTTGGGGATGCTTTTCTGCAAAGGGGACAGGACGACTGCACCGTATTGAGGGGAGGATGGATGGGGCCATGTATCGTGAGATCTTGGCCAACAACCTCCTTCCCTCAGTAAGAGCATTGAAGATGGGTCGTGGCTGGGTCTTCCAGCATGACAATGACCCGAAACACACAGCCAGGGCAACTAAGCAGTGGCTCCATAAGAAGCATCTCAAGGTCCTGGAGTGGCCTAGCCAGTCTCCAGACCTGAACCCAATAGAAAATCTTTGGAGGGAGCTGAAAGTCCGTATTGCCCAGCGACAGCCCCAAGACCTGAAGGATCTGGAGAAGGTCTGTATGGAGGAGTGGGCCAAAATCCATGCTGTAGTGTGTGCAAACCTGGTCAAGACCTACAGGAAACGTATGATCTCTGTAATTGCAAACAAAGGTTTCTGTACCAAATATTAAGTTCTGTTTTTCTGATGTATCAAATACTTATGTCATGCAATAAAATGCAAATTAATTACTTAAAAATCATACAATGTGATTTTCTGGATTTTTGTTTTAGATTCCGTCTCTCACAGTTGAGACACACAGCAGACCTCTACATGCTTTGTAAGTAGGAAAACCTGCAAAATCGGCAGTGTATCAAATACTTGTTCTCCCCACTGTATATACTGTATTCTATACTATGAGATGGATAATGCAAGATATGTAAACGTTATTAATATAGAATACAGTATATACATATGAGATTGGTAATGCAAGATATGTAAACATTAGTGGCATTATTAAAGTGAGTAGTGTTCCATTTATTAAAGTGGCCAGTGATTTTCAAGTCTATATGTAGGCAGCAGCCTCTCTGTGCTAGTGATGGCTGTTTAACAGTCTGATGGCCTTGAGATAGAAGCTGTTTTTCAGTCTCTCAGTCCCAGATTTGATGCACATGTACTGTCCTCGCCTTCTGGATGATAGCGGGGTGAACAGGCAGTGGCTCGGGTGGTAGTTGTCCTTGATTATCTTTTTGGCCTTCCTGTGACATCGGGTGCTGTAGGTCTCCTGGAGGGCAGGTAGTTTGCCCCCGGTGATGCGTTGTGCAGACCGCACCACCTTCTGGAGAACCCTGTGGTTGTGGGCTGTGCAGTTGCCGTACCAGGCGGTGATAAACGAAGTGGAGATGTTGTTTCTTACCTTCACCACCTGGGGGCGGCCCGTCAGGAAGTCCAGGACCCAATTGCACAGGGCGGGGTTGAGACCCAGGGCCTCAAGCTTGATGATGAGCTTGTAGGGTACTATGGTGTTGAATGCTGAGCTATAGTCAATGAACAGCATTCTTACATAGGTATTCCTCTTGTCCAGATGGGATTGTGCAGTGTAATGGCGATCGCATCGTCTGTGGACCTATTAGGGCGGTATGCAAATTGAGGTGGGTCTAGGGTGACCGGTAAGGTGGAGGTGATATGATCCTTGACTCTCAAAGCACTTCATGATGACAGAAGTGAGTGCTACGGGCCGATAGTCATTTAGTTCAGTTACCTTTGCATTCATGGGTACAGGAACAATGGTGGCCATCTTGATGCATGTGGGGACGGCAGACTGGGATAGGGAGAGATTGAATATGTCCGTAAACACACCAGCCAGCTGGTCTGCGCATGCTCTGAGGACGCGGCTAGGAATGCCGTCTGGGCCGGCAGGCTTGCGAGGGTTAACAGGTTTAAATGTCTTACTCAAGTCGGCCATGGAGATGGAGATCCCACAGTCCTTGGTAGCTGGCCTTATCGGTGGCACTGTGTTATCCTCAAAGCGGGCAAAGAACTTGTTTAGCTTGTCTGGCAGCAAGACGTCGGTGTCCGCGACGTGGCTGGTTTTCCTATTGTAGTCCGTGATTGTCTGTAAACCCTGCCACATACGTCTCGTGTCTGAGCCGTTAAATTGCGACTACACTTTGTCTCGATATTGACATTTTGCCTGTTTGATTTCCTTGTGGAGGGAATGACCACTCTGTTTGTATTCTGCCATATTCCCCGTCACCTTACCATGGTTAAATGCGGTGGTTCGTGCTTTCAGTTTTTTGCGAATGCTGCAATCTATCCACGGTTTCTGGTTAGGGTAGGTTTTAATAGTCACAGTGGGTACGACATCTCCTATACACTTCCTTATAAACCCACTCACTGAATCAGCGTATACGTCTATATTATTCTCAGAGGCTACCCGGAACATATCCCAGTCCGCGTGATCAAAACAAACTTGAAGCGTGGATTCCGATTGGTCAGACCAGCGTTGAATAGTCATAAGCACGGGTGCTTCCTGTTTGAGTTTCTGCCTATAGGAAGGGAGGAGCAAAATGGAGTTGTGGTCAGATTTGCTGAAAGGAGGGTGGGGGAGGGCCTTGTAAGCGTAGCGGAAATGAGTAACAATGGTCCAGCATTTTTCCAGCACGAGTGCTACAGTCAATATGCTGATAGAATTTAGGTAGTCTTTTTCTCAAATTTGATTTGTTAACATCCCCAGCTACAATAAATGCAGTTTCCAGTTTGCATAAAGTCCAGTGGAGTTCCTTGAGGGCCGTCGTGGTATCAGCTTGAGGGGGGATGTACATGGCTGTAACAATAACCGAAGAGAATTCTCTTGGGAGATAATACGGTCAGCATTTGATTGTGAGGAATTCTAGGTCAGGTGAACAAAATGACTTGAGTTCCTGTATGTTGTTATAGTTACACCATGAGTCATTATTTATGAAACATACCCCCCCCCCCCACCCCTCTTCTTCCCGGAGAGATGTTTATTCATGTCGGCGCGATGTACTGAGAACCCAGATGGCTGTATGGACGGGGACAGTATATCCCGAGAGAGACATGTTTCCGTGAAACAGAGTATGTTATAATCCCTGATGTCTCTCTGGAAAGCCACCCTTGCCCTGATCTCGTCCACTTTGTTGTCTAGGGACTGGACATTAGCGAGTAATATACTCGGAAGCAATGGGTGGTGTGCGTGCCTCCTAAGTCTGACTAGGGGACCGCTGCGGCTCCCTCTCCTCCGGAGGCGTTGTTTTGGGTCGGCCTCTGGAATCAGTTCAAATGCCCTGGGTGGTGCGAACAAAGGATCCGCTTCGGGAAAGTCGTATTCTTGGTCGTAGTGCTGGTAAGTTGACGCCGCTCTGATATCCAATAGTTCTTCCAGGCTGTATGTAATTACACTTAAGATTTTCTGGGCTAACATTGTAAGAAATAATAAATAAAAAAACAAAATACTGCAAAGTTTCCTAAGGACTAGAAGTGAGGCAGCCCTCTGTCGGCAGCAAAGTAATGATGGACTGTCGTTTCGCTTTGCTTATTTGAGCTGTAATTGCCATAATATGGACTTGGTCTTTTACCAAATAGGGCTATCTTCTGTAAACACCCCCTACCTTGTCACAACACAACTGATTGGCTCAAACGCATTAAGAAGGAAAGAAGTTCCACAAATTAACTTTTAAGAAGGCACACCTGTTAATTGAAATGCATTCCAGGTGACTACCTGATGAAGCTGGTTGAGAGAATTCCAAGAGTGTGCAAAGCTGTCATCAAGGCAAAGGGTGGCTACTTTGAAGAATTTCAAATATGAAATATATTTTGATTTGTTTAACACTTTTTTGGTTACTACATGATTCCATATGTGTTATTTCATAGTTTTGATGTCTTCACTATTATTCTGCAATGTAGAAAATAGTAAAAATAAAGAAAAACCTTTGGACACCTACTCATTCAAACTTTTGACTGGTACTGTATGTCACCAGTATTAAATATACCGTTAATACCAGTAATTTGGTTACATACATTTCTGTTAATGCATATATTAATTACAGTAATTTACTGTTCTCATTCTCAGAGTGGAAACAGTGTTTGCAGAGTTCAAAATCTGCTACACTTGTGAGAAACAAGTTTTGGTTCATTTCATAACCAGAATTTACGAGATCTGTCAATATTGTTATTTAATTTAGTTTGGAGTGCTCCATGTGAGCAATGAGCATGTGTCTGGTTTCTCTGTTTAGGGTACCTGGCCTGCTGCTTGGAAATGTAGGAAAGTGTTTTTTAAAATATCCGTTGCGAATTATATATATATATATATATATATATATATATATATATATATATATATATATATATATATATATATATATATATATATATATATATATATATATATTAAAACCTATAGTTCCTCACAGTAAGCCATTTGAAAAATATGTAATTATTGAAATGAAACTGTTCCACGAAAATGCACATATGAAAATCATAACTGGCACGTAGAAATGGTAGGATAAATTGTAAGCTTCCCCAAACTTGAAACTCATGCGCCGCCTATGAAGTCTTTATAAAATAATTGCCTCGGATTTTGCCTGTAGGCTACTTTGAAGCAAAGTAAGACATGCCTCATAATATGAAATGAAACATTCAGGATTCAAACAATTAAGTGTTTTTTAAGTGCATACTGCCTCCAGCTCACATTGTAAAGTGGTGGGTGACACGCTGATAGCCTGTTGCCTGCACTTGAATGGTGAATGGGAGGCGTGCGTCAATGAACACTTGAGAAATAAAAATAGTAGCTCATTTTAATCGTTCACCAAAACTGTTTTTAACAGCTCGGAGCTGCAGGAGAAATCCCGCTCAAAATAGCTGTGTGCATCTGATAGTTGTGTTGGATAAATAAGCTAGGCCTACATTATGACTAACAAAAATACACACAGGGCAATTTAATTCCACTAAATTATGCAAATTAACCTATAGACCGATAAGCATGACGGTCAAATGTATTTACATTGACTGGTATTTCCATCAATTAATAAACAGCATTATTTTACTATTGGAATTGTTGTTTTTTGGTCATTTTAGCCGGCAACAGATTTATCGGCTTTTCACTTTTGGGGGGACAAAAGCCGGCAACTTTCAGCTAACGTAAACCCTGTGTGATGTGTACCACACTGCACAGCACACACTTAACAGCAGCAGCGTAGCATTGCCATTGACCAGCCTAGCTAAAAACAAGGTTTCATAACCACCATAAAATGAACATTAATCCAATCCCATGCACGTCTGGATTCTATTCTAGTAATACTGTGAATCTGGGTTTACTGAATGATAGTTATCTTAAACAAACTGGCTAGCTCTGGCAATGCAACAAGCTCAGAGTGATGCTTGCAACAGGGTAAAAATGTGATGTTAAAAGAAGTGAAGGCACGGTATACGTACGTCTAGATTTAGCCTAGGCTTTAGGCTACATTTGAACTAGAGACAAAAGAAGCGGTCAATCCTATACCTTTTATGCCTATATCTAAGACGGGGGAACTAAAGGTAGTGGATCTGTATCACCCCGAGACAAAGGGAGTTGTAGATGGACTAGCCGAGATAATTATATGACTGTGAAAGCCATGGCAAGGCACATTAAGGCAGTAAGGAAGGATTGAGGGCTTATCAGAGGAGCTGACCCACTTTGCGGGTTGCATACTGACGTCAATGCTCACAACAGACTGCTACTGTGTGTGTGTATATATATATATATATATATATATATATATATATATATATATATATATCTCATTTACATAAGTAATCAGAGCCTTTGCTATGAGACTCGAATTTGAGCTCAGGTGCACCCTGTTTCCATTGATCATCCTTGAGATGTTTCTACAACTTGATTGGAGTCCACCTATGGTAAATTAAATTGATTGGAAAGGCACACACCTGTCTATATAAGGTCCCACAGTTGTCTGTGCATGTCAGAGCAAAAACCAAGCCATGAGGTCGAAGGAATTGTCCGTAGAGCTACGGGACAGGATTGTGTCGAGGCAAAGGTCTGGGGAAGGGTACCAAAAAATTTCTGCAGCATTGAAGGTCCCCAAGAACACAGTGGCCTCCATCATTCTTAAATGGAAGAAGTTTGGAAACACCAAGACTCTTCCTAGAGCTGGCCGCTGAGCAAAACTGAGTAATCGGGGGAGAAGGGTCTTGGTCAGGGTGGTGACCAAGAATCCAATGGTCACTCTGACAGAGCTCCAGATTTCCTCTGTGGAGATGAGAGAACCTTCCAGAAGGACAACCATCTCTGCAGCACTCCACCAATCAGGCCTTTATGGTAGAGTGGCCAGATGTAAGCCACTCTCAGTAAAAGGCACATGACAGCCCACTTGGGAGTTTGCCACATTCACCTAAAGGACTCCGACCATGAGAAACAAGATTCTCTGGTCTGATGAAACCAAGATTGAACTCTTTGGCCTGAATGCCAAGTGTCACGTCTGGGGAAACCTGGCACCATCCCTACGGTGAAGCATGGTGGTGGCAGCATCATGGTGTGGGGATGTTTTTCAGTGGCAGGGACTGGGAGACTAGTCAGGATCGAGGGACAGATGAATGGAGCAAAGTATAGATAAATCCTTGATGAAAACCTGCTCCAGAGCGCTCAGAACATCAGACTGGGGCGAAGGTTCACCTTCCAACAGGACAACGACCCTAAGCACACAGCCAAGACGACGCAGGAGTGGCTTCGGGACAGGTCTCTGAATGCCCTTGAGTGGCCCAGCCAGAGCCCGGACTTGAACCCAATCGAACAACTCTGGAGAGACCTGAAAATAGCGGTGCAGTGACTCCTGACAGAGCTTGAGAGGATCTGCAGAGAAGAATGGGAGAAACTCTCCAAATACAGGTGTGCCAAGCTTGTAGCGTCATACCCAAGAAGACTCAAGGCTGTAATCGCTGCCGACGGTGCTTCAACAAAGTACTGAGTAAAGGGTCTGAATAATTATGTAAATGTGATATTTCCATTTTGTTAGATGTTAGAGACTCTCCATATTTTAGTGTTGATTCTGTCTTTTGGCTGGATTGCTCTTCTTGGTTGGCATGATGCGTTGCAGGAAGAAATCTTTGATGCCAATGCCTGATGAGGGTGAAGGGCTTGACGTTGCAGACGTTGATGGCTGGGGTTCCGACTTCCTTATGGTAAGTTCCGGATGGTCCCCGCATGAAGCGTTCAAACATTTTCGGCCGGGTCTTTGGTCCTTAAACAGGGTTTGATGTTCCTTTGCTATCACAAACTCTTGAACGAGATCGAGAAGATCCGTCCGGGTGAAGCCCCAACCCAACTGGCAAAGGACCTGAAGAGATGGAGAATGACAAAGCATTAGTCCTGGACGCACGTGTGAGCGCACACACACACAAAAGTTTGCATGCACACACACACACTTATGCATGCGCACACAAACACGTACACAGGCACACGCACACATACACCCAGGTCACATATTGAGAACCACTGGATTAGGCAAAATATTAGGCTACCCACTGTTTCATGTTATCTTTTTCTTAGCCTATCAGTCACTACAGTATAACCCTACCTGAAGACAGTCTGAAATCTCCTGCTCTACCGCTGGACTCAGGTAGATGACATGTCCCTGTTGTGCATCAATGCTCAGCTGCTCCTTCACTCTCTGCCTCAACGACTTGCTGTCTACTCCATAACGTTTTGCTTGAAATGAGAGATTTTGCATTGTTCCCTCCCTGTACAGACGGCATGCTTCTATCATGCGTGGGTATGAACTGTAGTTTTTTCGTGTTTTAGTCATCTCATACTAAAACTCATCTGAAAAGTAGGCCTAAAGATTTAAAAAATATATATTGTTAATGTTAGGATAGAATATAGGCCTATCCAGAATGAATTGACCTATGCAATATGACTGATATTTAAATATGGGTATTAATTATCTGAATTATGGAGCTGATTTTATCAGGTGAGGTCAAAATTAGGGAGGAAAATGGTTCAAAGGTCAAAAGGAAGAAAATCCCCATTGAAACAGTCAATCAGTGAATTTATGGTTAAAAGACAAAATATTTTATTCTACACACATGACATAAAAAACCCCGATATGAAATAAATCTATATATGGTGCACTAACATAACATGAAAAGTATAAATGTATCATGCAGGGTAGTAATTAGCTATACTCATTTACATCCACCCAGACAGTGTGATATTTTTGCTAGTGTCCCCTTTAAGCCCACCAGGTAAAAATGTTAATAAAAAAATAAAATAAAGATAAACATACACATGTATTGTCTATTTAACAGTATAATATAAACTGCATACAAAAATGTAAATTATACCTGCTTATCATGCTTTGTCAATAACCCATGCTATGCAGCTACTGTACTGATGCAGCATGTGGTCTGTTTGCTAGCATGCTAAAACTCATATTTTGATTTCAAAAGAAACAATATTTATAATTCAAGTAATATTTTGACATATGTCTTATTCAAAACACTAATCACTTAAATGTTGATAACAAATGAGTACTTACCAAAAACAGGAGTAGAAATATGCAAAAAATGTTATCTTCTGAGAGTACCAAAATCACAATTTGTTTTTGCAACAACTTCTGGGATCAGCAGGCACATGTCACACATGCTTTGATAACTTAATATTGACAAATCTGTTTGGCTTACAATAATAAGTGTCATTTATTTAACAAGCAGCTTTATTGGAAGAAACATCACACAGCAAAAAAATGTTGTTGTTTTTTGTATTTGACTGTGGGCTTATATGGTACGTGGGCTTAATAGAGACGTTTACCCTAAATGTCATATTTCTTTTTTTTTTTTTTTATAGATTTGCAAACATGTCTACACCTATTTTTGCTTTGACATTATGGGCTATTGTGTGTAGATTGATTGGGGGGGGGGGGGGGGGGGGGGATCAATTTTTAATTTTAGAATAAGGCTGTAACGGTACAAAATGTGAAAAAAGTGAAGGGGGTCTGAATACTTTCCGAATGCACTGTATGTCCTCACCTTAAGACCCAAGTTACAGCCATCATCATGAGTCCCCCCCCCCCTCTATTTTAATTATGTTTCACAACTGACCTCTTGTAGACACCATCTATGATGAGGACGAGGTGCTTCTTGCCTTGGCTGAGCAGCTGGGCAACTTCACCATGCTGGTGGGAGGCCCTGAATATGTTCACTGTCTGCTGGTACGTATGTGTTACAAACTAAATCTGGCATTGACCATAAGATATTCAACATATAGACCTTAAAACACAATTGTATAGAGTTTATTTTACATATCCAGTCAGCTACGCTACACCGTGTCTTTCTCCGCAGCCGCCTCTGGAGAGCCTGGCTACCGTGGAGGAAACGGTGGTGCGAGACAAGGCGGTGGAGTCTCTGCGTAAGATCTCCCAGGAGCACTCTCCTGTGGACCTGGAGGTGCACTTTGAACCCCTGGTGAAGAGGCTGGCCAGTGGTGACTGGTTCACCTCCCGCACCTCCGCCTGTGGCCTGTTCAGCGTCTGCTACCCCCGCGTATCCAGCACCGTCAAGGCTGAAATTCGCCAGTGAGTAGCTCTATCAGGATATAGCTATATAGCTAAGACCTGATTAGCTAAGATCCCGATTAGCTAAGATCCCAATGGGATTGAAATTGTCCCAATAATCTCTGGGAGCATAATATTAGAGCTGCAGACTTTACTTTGTCTCATATCAGGGGACCCATGCCCCCACCTCTTGTAGTCACACATACTAGCCTTGCAGGCACAAGTCAATCAGATCAGGATGATTAACTACACTCTTTTTCTGTAGAGCAGATACAATGGATTTATGGTCTGACTGTGGGTGTCATGTTCTCTCTACAGACATTTCCGCACTCTGTGCTCAGATGATACTCCCATGGTGCGCCGCGCCGCAGCCTCCAAGCTTGGGGAATTCGCCAAGGTTCTGGAGCTGGACTATGTCAAGAGTGACATCATCTCCCTCTTCACCGCGCTGGCCTCCGATGAGCAGGTACATGTACCGTATACACGCACACAGGGCGTCCTGGAACATTGCGGTGGGAAGTGCCTGGAATTCTTCCAGCCAATTGCTAAATCAACTGGCTTGTTGCCGATGGAAATAGCATGGCCATACAAATTAGATGTTTTTGAATGGGGATGGATGGATATTGAATGGAAATAGAACAATCATATTTCAGCGAATTCAGTAGGTAGCCCCAACTTGGACACAAAACCGTGTCTAGCTATTGTTAACCCAACGCCTCCACAGTTACACCATGAAATCCTGCCCTTGGGGGATAGCGTGTTCACTATATGCATTTCTATGGTGTTGCTACATTATTTTATTCAATTGGCACAGAATGAGCAATAATCTCATGGTGCCCCCGCCTGTAGGACTCAGTGCGCCTGCTGGCCGTGGAAGCCTGTGTGAGCATCGCCACGCTGCTGCCCCAGGAGGACCTGGAGACCCTGGTGATGCCCACCCTGCGCCAGGCCGCCGAGGACAAGTCCTGGAGGGTCCGCTACATGGTGGCCGACAAGTTCTCTGAGGTGAGCATGTGGAAACATCGATGTCCTGCATGTAGCCATAATGCCTCTAAAATATTTGCTGCTTTACTGAACCCGGAATGGAAGCAATGGGGAGGCGGATATTCAACGTTTCACAGATGGTCACTTTAAAACGGTGCCTATCTGTAAAAAGTTTTTCCCAAATTGAGAGATTTTTCCAATTTGACAGATGTAATTGCTCTAATTTTGCTATTTTTGTCTAGGAGGAATATTTTCAGTTGCTTTACTGTATTGAACTGAAGTAATACAATCCTCCAAGGGGGAAGTAGTAGACATGGATAGCAGGACAGTTATGGGGGCCTGTAATGTTCATAGTCCCCCAGCGTAGAACATTCTTAATGTCCTCATTACCACTTACATTCACTACACTAACCCATTGATTTCTAACCCATATGACCTCTTGTCATTTAGTATAAAATGGGTCATATTGCCACTTCCATAATGTTGTAGAAGTGCAGTCAATCAATATAAAAGCTTTCAGGCAACCTCACACAAATGAAAGCTTAGCACCACACTTACTGGAAGGTCTTCTACCACTTTCCCCCTCGCCACCATGAACTTTGGTAACGTGTTCCCAACCCAACATTCCATTAGTTTAGTGTGTTGATCAGCAAATCTGAGCAAGGTTTGAAGGTGGGATTGTGTCAGAGCTGTAGATGAAGATCTCGGCTGGATGTTAATTGCCATGCCCATAGTTTGTGGAAGGAGTAGAAGTTCCCTCAACCAATTTAACAGTTGTCAGGAAACCTCCACACAAATTAAAGCCTGGCAATGGCAAATAGTTTCGTGCACTTTCCCCCTTGCTGCCATGGACTTTGTAGCCTATGTGTTCCCAACTTGAATCCCATCAGTTGAGTGTGTTGGTCATGGAGTCTCACACAGGTTTCGTGGTGGATGTTAATTGCCATGTCACTGATTCCACAGCTCCAGAAAGCAGTGGGCCCAGAGATCACCAAGAACGACCTGGTCCCAGCTTTTCAGAACCTGCTCAAGGACTGTGAGGCTGAGGTCCGATCCGCTGCCGCCAAAAAGGTCAAGGGTGAGTGTCTGGATGCTATCCGCAAGTCATAAAGCCTCTGTTGAAATAAAGAATTGTTTGAATGAGAAGCTTTTACTGTCTAATAGACCACGGTATTGACAAACCCCATTTCTGTCCTCAGAGTTTTGCGAGAACCTTCCAGAAGACAGCAGAGAGACCATCATCATGACTCACATTCTGCCCTGTGTCAAGGTATTAAAAAAAAAAAAAAAACTGTCACTGTTCACTTGTATTCCTTTATTATTCCGCTAACTTACGTACGCTAGTTTCTTTGACCTGTGAATTTCTCACTCAATGGAAGTAATTCTGAGTACCCATGACTCACGAAGGGGCAAAAAAAATCTTAGATCTTAAAAATACATTTTTAAAAAGCTGTCGTGCTTTAGGCAAACAGTCGTGTTCTGAAGTCTCGACAATAACACAAGTTAATCAAATTCTTGTGTGCAGAAGCAGCGGATATTTTTTACACCCATGAATCAATTTCTAGCATGAGGGTCTATACTGAGCTGTTAAACTGAGGAACCTGTTGTTTTTTACTTTACTTTCTATACGGGAGCCATGAGGATATTATGCTTTGTAGGTTGGGGTCTATGGCAAGATGAGGACTTGAGCTCAGTATAGCCTTTGGACAGCAGGGGGCGCTGTTTTATTCAAGATATCTACCAAACCACCATTCCTATTCGCTGTCGGTGTTAGAACTCACTGGTTGGTTCCTGAGTTTAAATGACGCCCTTTTTGTTTCGAAAATATATTTTTGGGGGAAAACATCTCTTCTAGGACATCCCAAGCCTAAAAAAATGGTAGCTTCTACATTTTAGTCATTTAGCAGACGCTCTTATCCAGAGCGACCACGGTAGTGCATACATTTTCGTACTGCCCCCCCCCCCCCATCGAACCCACAACCCTGGCGTTGCAAGCGCCATGCTCTACCAACTGAGCGACACGGGACAATTCAATGTCAGGTCAGATTGCAATAACAGATGATTCATTTCAACACAGGGGCTAGTTTCTGCTCACCTTGTCTACAACTGCACTGAATTCTGTGGGCAGCATGCTGACAAGTGGCCTTAAACGCCTCTTAAGTAACAGTACCAAAGTGCTTCTCTAACTTGTTTTCGTTGCCACTTTTCTCCTGAGGGAAATATCAATGTAGCAATAATATTGTCACAGGTCTGAAACTACCCGCTATTTGAAAATACCAGATTTGCTGTCCCTGTCCACTGCAATGTCTGACTCTTTCTCCCCTGACAGGAACTGGTGTCTGACACCAGCCAGCACGTGAAGTCTGCCCTGGCCTCTGTCATCATGGGCCTGTCCACCATCCTGGGCAAAGACAACACAGTGGAACACCTGCTGCCTCTGTTCCTGGCCCAGCTCAAGGACGAGGTAAACACCAGTTACTACTGCTCCTATTTGTTCTAGTCATTAAGCACCAAATGGCAGAAAATAGGCTGAAATTGGGAGGGTGGGAGGGACTGCCTGGACTTGGAGAAATGTCTCCCATGTCTGATCTGATCACCCTCTTAATATCCTCTAATGCTATTGACCTGGTTCAGGATCAGATATACCTACCGGAGTATAAACCTAGGAATGACCCTTATAGGGTTTGAACCTTTTCCCTGGTGACATTTGTTCTAGTGGTGCTAGGTTATTTCATGCGGTTTTCAGTGATGTGTGGTTTCATTCTGACATTTCCTTCCTAAATGTAACCTGTATCGCAGCCAACATCCCGATGTAAGACGTCGGCACTAGCTGACACATTTACATATCTCTGGTGGTTTATTAATACCGGAGTGGAAAGGTTTGGGTAGATGACGCAAATTGCCCTGCAAAAAAAATGAAGGTGCACAAATACACCGACACGATTGGCTGTCATCTATGACAGCCTTCCTATTAAAATATGTTCTAGTTTGCCTCGCGGCCAAAGTGGAGTTGACAGGGTTTGTGTCACAAAGGATTACAGTCAAAACGCCTCGAATGACTCATGAATGTAAAAAATATCTGTATTCTTCAATATTTCTACTCCAAATATTTAGTCTCACAGCTGGCTGCTATCGCCGTCGTCTCCTATTTGGTTCGCAAAAAGCTTGATGGGAAATCGGTCTGCATATTCGGAGGCTAAGAATCAAGGGTCTGGGACAGGCGGAAGGTCTTTGGCAATTCGTTTGGCCTTTGTTGCTAATGTCATGTCGAGATTGGAGCCAAGAAAGGCATCATTATAAGCGGATGGGGATGCATAAGCAATAGCTCGGATTTCTGTTGCAATGATTTTTGCCACTTTTTAAGACTGCTTGAAATATAATGGCTTTCATTCTTAAAAGAAGACAGACATATGCAATGTAATGTTCCCTGATGTAATTACTTATACAAGAGATCCTTCTCACTGTAGTCTTACCTGCTGTCTCTCTCTTTCTCTCTCCCTCGCTCTTTTTCCCCTTCCCTCCCCCTTTTTCGCCCTGCAGTGCCCTGAGGTGCGCCTCAACATCATCTCCAACCTGGACTGTGTCAACGAGGTGATCGGCATCCGCCAGCTCTCCCAGTCGCTGCTGCCCGCTATCGTGGAGCTGGCCGAGGACGCCAAGTGGAGGGTCCGCCTGGCCATCATAGAGTATATGCCCCTGTTGGCCGGACAACTGGTGAGTCGTCGGCTGCATCCCAAACGGCACCCTATTCCCTATATAGTGCACTACTTTTGATCAGAGCCCCCTCCAGTCCCACCTCAGGAGACCTCTGTCCCATCCTCATTTCCCCCTAATCACACATCTGTGTGGCCTACATCTGCCTTGCGCCATGCGTATGTGCAACAGTTTATGGTGGGAAGGTGCTGGTCACCAATATCATCCATGACTTAGAAAAGGGCTATGCAATGTATAAGTCATTCAGCTAGCTTTATTTGTGCTTTCTGAGTCGAAAGCTGCATACCCCCAAATTTTGGTTGAATCTAATTGGAACCCTATTCAGTAATAGTGTTGCTTGCACTGTAATGTTTGGATTAGATTTCTTTGGATATTAAGTGAAAATTGTTTAGAAATGTATTCTCTCCTAATCGCTCTTCTCCAGGGAGTGGAGTTCTTTGATGAGAAGCTGAACACCCTCTGCATGGCATGGCTCATTGACCACGGTAAGACACCCCCAGATCCTCAAAAATGTTCTACAGCTGCACCATCGAGAGCATCCTGACTGGTTACATCACGGCCTGGTATGTCAACTGCTCGGCCTCCGACCGCAAGGCACTACAGAGGGTAGTGCGTACGGCCCAGTACATCACTGGGGCCAAGCTTCAGGCCATACCAGGCGGTGTCAGAGGAAGGCCCTACAAATTGTCAAAGACTCCAGCCACCCTAGTCATAGACTGTTCTCTCTGCTACCGCACGGCAAGCGGTACCGGAGCGCCAAGTCTAGGTCCAAAAGGCTTCTTAACAGCTTCTACCCCCAAGCCATAAAACTCCTGAACAGCTAATCATGGCTACCCAGACTATTTGCATTGCATTTTTTTTTTTACTGCATTGTTGGTTAAGGGCTTGTAAGTAAGCATTTCACTGTTGTATTCGGTGCATGTGGCAAGTAAAATTTGATTTGACTTAGACTGGGAGAGGCCAGGGAAATGCTCTCTCCTTAACTGTTCTCCTGCCCTCTCTCTAGCTGAGCTGGATAGAATGGGAAACCTACTGTAATACAGTCTTCATCCCAAATGGCACCCTATCCTTTATATTGGGCTCTACTTTTAACCAATGCCCATAGCGCTCTAGTAAAAGTAGTGCACTATATAGGGAATCGGGTGCCATTTAGGATGCAAACCATACTGTAATACACCATAACAGGTAGGCATTTGGATATGAGCAAGTCAGCTATTGTCTGCAGTAGCCTTTTCTATTATACAGTAAAAAGTGTGAAGTTAAATTCAATATTGTATTGAGTAGAGATGTGAATATCCGGTAGAGGTTTTTGTGCAGCCCGCGTGCAGAACGTATAGAAAACGGGAACAGGCTTCCTGGAGGGGTGCAAACCCTGTGTTATCGCGATATTGTGATACTTGGCCTGTTATCACATCGTTGGTATTGTAACAACCCCACTCTGAAAATAGGCACATCTTCATGCAGTTTACAGATTTTTTGTGTCTTTTGAATGCGCTTGTTTGATTTGCATGTGATATGGAGACCTTGTTGGCTACGTCTCTTCGGTCTGCCTTTAATGTCGGCAGGTTTTTTCTTCTTCTTTCTCCATGTTTAGATTGTGCTATAGATGGGTTGGTTGTTAAACAACAAAACCGGCGCTTGCGCAACAATGGGGCAAAACCGGCGGGGATGGCCTAGACTTGACAACATGGATGCTGTATTTAGTCTCCAAATGTTACATTTGATGCTTTCTTGACCGTAGAGACAATTTTGTTTTAAAGCTAATTTCCTGCAATTCTACATGTTTTGCCATGGGGCAGAGACAAAAATTTAGTTTTAAAGCATTTTTTTGTGCCTTTGCTTATGCCCTGTTCGTGTGCTATCTGGGTGACTCAAATACCCATTTCAGACAAGATGTGGTATATTACCTGTACATTTGTATTTAATTATTTATTTATGGCAATATTTATGACCCCTTTCAAACACCCCCTTATTTAACACCTTGCAGGGATACCCATTATACATATCAGTGAGTAACTGGCAAATTGGGATGGGTGGGGGCAGGGGGCTGTTTGCGTTTCAAATTAGTGCTAATTGAATATAGGGGAAGCACTGCATAACATCAGTCAAAACACCTTAAAACAAGACCATGGTATCAACACAACGAGCTAAAACGAGATACCTATGATTCCCCACTTTCAGTGTCTTGTCATTGTTGCTAACTATCTGACCGTTCAGAATCATAACAACTTGCACCTTGCGGCCACATCGATGCGCGCATCAAATTTGTAACGATGTCAGGCAACCCATCTATAAAGCCTTGAACAGCAAGATTGTATCCCTTATTGACCTATCGCTCAAGTGCGACTTTACTAATCCTGTTTAGAAAAAGATGTCTTCTGAGAGCTGTCCTCAGTGTTTAGACTACATCTTCTTTGTCCTCCTCAGAACATCTGCTTTGTTTCTCGCATGGAATCCTCTCTTTAGCTCTGGTTGAAAGTTTTCCCTAGCTACAGATCTAGGATCAGGTTTTCCTGCCCCTAATCCTACCCTTAGCCATTAGTGGGGGAAATGCAAAACTGACCCATGGTCAGTGTCTTAGGGGCGATTTCAACAGTAAGTATATCACAACCTACCTTGTATCACCACATCCCCCATTTCCCATACTTGCGTTCTAAAAGTAGGCTGATTGGGTATGCGGAAATGGCACGTTTTATAGTATGTGACACTTCCAAAATGTTGTATGGTATTAAATGCCAGGATGTCCTCATTTTGGCTTCATCTAGTAGAATTGCCTGCACACTCAAACCCACTTGTTTGACAACAGCTGATAATCTAGCAAGAGGATGGGCTGTACCAAGATGAAGGAATGGTGGGAAACAACGCAATTGAGCATTAGATGCCGCATTCTCAGGATGGGTTTGCCTACTATATTTGTTTACTGCATACATTTATACTAAACAGTACGTTCAAAATAGTATGTAGTATGCTTAGTACACAGTATGTCGATTTAGTAAGAAGTTGGCAAGACCGATTTCAGACACGGCCAGTGTCACACAGGTTTTAATATCCCATTGTGGCTCCACAGCCATGATTCCACAGGCTATTGGCATGGTTCTTCTAACCCGAGCTTGGCTCTCGAGCTCTCTAGTCTCTTTATGGCTGTATTAGGAGCCAAAGCACCAGATAGGGTTAGGTTAGTCAGTGGGTTAGAAATGTGTTGTACCCATGCCACCTGGTCTCCCGCTCTCTGTCCAACAGCTAGTATCGAATATCAGGAAATCAGGCTTGTGTGTGCCCAGATGTTATGTCACTGTATTCTGGGCACAATTGAGTGTTTTGAGCAGTTCTGCAGTCACTAGCCTCTTTAGCCATGATTACTGATGGACATGTTTTCCATGCAAATATACTTTTTGCCACATTATTTGTTACAAGGCAAACAAACTGTGACAATAATACAAAGATGGCTGCCAAACTGGAATGGATAGAAAAGAGCTCAAAAGAACCAAGAATCCTGGCAAATATTTTCACGGGCCGGGTAGTGTACTGACTGCCTACTCTCTTGTAGAGTTTGGATATGTCTATATTGAACTTTGATCTGTTTTAATTTTAGTTTTGTACACTTTTTTTTTGGTAAGATTGCCATTTCAATTGAGAAATGCTAGTCAATAGTTCAATTAATATTATAGTTTTGTAAAGGAAATCCCTCACTTTTTTCTGACCACTTTTCCTGATAACTACTACTAAAAAGAAACTACTATGCCTAATTATATCTAGTTCTACAGGCCAAGGTCTCTAAGCATGTGTTTGTTTCCGACAGTATACGCTATCCGCGAGGCAGCCACCTGTAACCTGATGAAGCTGGTGGAGAAGTTTGGAGCCGAGTGGGCCCAGAACACCATCGTGCCCAAGGTGTTGGGCATGGCCAACGACCCCAACTACCTGCACAGGATGACCACGCTCTTCTGCATCAACGTGAGTCCTCCTGACCTTCACACCACAAACCCTCAGAGACCATAGGCGTATACTACGATGGATGCTAGATCTACTCAGGTTTTTATAAAGCTAGCCATATTACGAAGGTGGATATTGATCATGTAGCTGCCGCCAACTAAAGCGGGCTTGTAACTTGGCACATGGGTAGTTGAGCGCCAAACTATTCAATCCATGGGCGAGTCAATGCCACATTTCCATTTTTGCCGAAATCAACATGAAAGAAGTTCTTGCAAATTTAGCAGGCTATGGTGTAAAACAGGATATTAGAAGCGGGTATTTTATTACGTAGCGTTAATGCCGTGTTTGATGTGCTTTGGTGTGCTTATCAATGCACGAACAGGTTTTTTTCTATCGATAAAATAATTGTGTATATAGTCATACAAACGTTTTACTGTGCGTAAACTTTCAAATGCAGGCTGTCATTACTAAATGTGTAATGTGATGGCTATTTTAATATGACTATTTTTAACACATTTGATTAATAAAATATTGAATCCGTCGTCTTCCTCATCTGAAGTGTATGACGCAATCTTTGTGAGAGGGAGGGAATCTGATTTCAGTGGTCCTCACCTCGCGGCTCAGTCATTTCCTTCAGGGTAAGTGGAGTTAGCCCTGAGTTAGCGGCCTGCCCTGGAGCAGGTTAGTTATTAAGGATTCTTTGCCATTAGAAATGTACCTGCCTAAAAGGTGAGCCACTTTCGTATGACCGGTCATCCCGAGTTGAACTCAGTTGACCAAAGTTACCTCGCTTACTCCTCAAACCTGATTGGTAGTATAGGGCTCATGTCATAAAACCTCAGATTGAAATCAAGCCATTTTTGGAAACGTTTTACTTTTAAAACAATCAAATGACATTTTTTGTCACATACACGTGTTTAGCAGATGTTATTGCGGGTGTTGCGAAATGCTTGTGCTTCTAGCACCAACAGAGCAGTAATATCTAACAAGTAATATCTAACAATTTCACAACATATACCCAATACACACAAATCTAAGTAAGGAATGGAATTTAAGAATATATACATATTTGGACAAGCAATGACCGAGCGGCATGGACTAAGATACAGTAGAATATTATAGAATACAGTAAATGCATATGAGATGAGTAATGCAAGATATGTAAACATTATTAAAGTGATTAGTGTTCCATTTCTTAAAGTGGCCAGTGATTTCAAACGGCAGCAGCAGCCTCTAATGTGCTAGTGATGGCCTTGAGGTAGCTGTTTTTCATTCTCTCGGTCCCAGCTTTGATGCACCTGTACTGACCTCGCCTTCTGGATGATAGCGGGGTCCTTGATGATCTTTCTGGCCTTCCTGTGACATCGGGTGCTTTAGGTGTCCTGAATGGCGGGTAGGTTGCGGGCGGTGCAGTTGCCGTACCAGGCGGTGAGACAGCCCGACAGGATGCTCTCAATTGTGCATCTGTAAAAGTTTGTGGGTTTTAGGTGCCAAGCCAAATTTCTTCAGCCTCCTGAGGTTGAAGAGGCTCTGTTGCGCCTTCTTCACCACACTGTCTGCGTGGGTGGACCATTTCAGTTTGTCAGTGATGTGTACGCCAAGGAACTTGAAGCTTTGCACCTTCTCCACTGCGGTCCCGTCAATGTGGATAGGGGGGTACACCCTCTGCTCTTTGTTTTGTTGACGTTAAGTGAGAGGTTATTTTCCTGGCACCACACTCCCAGAGCCCTCACCTCCTCCCTGTAGGCGGTCTCGTCATTGTTGGTAGGAAGTAAAGCCTACTACTGTTGTTATCTGCAAACTACAGACGCACACTTGTGGGGCCCCAGTGTTGAGGATCAGCGAAGTGGAGATTTTGTTTCCTACCTTCACCACCTGGGGATGGCCCGTCAGGAAGATCAGGGCCCAGTTGCACAGGGTGGGGTTCAGACCCAGGGCCTCGAGCTTAATGATGAGCTTGGAGGGTGCTATGGTGTTGAATGCTGAGCTATAGTCAATGAACAGCGTTCTTACATAGGTATTCCTGTTGTCTAGATGGGATTGTGTGGTGTGATGGCGATTGCATCGTCTGTGGATCTATTGGGGCGGTAAGCAAATTGAAGTGGGTCTAGGGTGACCGGTAAGGTAGAGGTGATATGATCATTGGCTAGTCTCTCAAAGCACTTCATGATGACAAAGGTGAGTGCTATGGGGAAATAGTTATTTAGTTCAGTTACCTTTGCTTTCTTGGGTACAGGAACAATGGTGGCCATCTTGAAGCATGTGGGGACAGCAGACTGGGATAGGGAGAGATTGAATATGTCCGTAAACACACCAGCCAGCTGGTCTGCGCATGCTCTGAGGACACGGCTAGGGATGCCGTCTGGGCCGGCAGCCTTGCGTGGGTTAACATGCTTAAATGTCTTACTCACGTCGGCCACAGAGGAGGAGAGCCCGCAGTCCTTGGTAGTGGGCAGTGTCGGTGGCACTGTGTTATCCTCAAAGCGAGCGAAGAAGGTGTTTCGCTTGTCTGGAATTGAGACGTCGGTGTCGGCGACGTGGCTGGTTTTCCTTTTGTAGTCCGTGATTGTCTGTAGACCCTGCCACATACGTCTCGTGTCTGAGGCGTTGAATTGCGACTACACTTTGTCTCTATACTGATGTTTTGCCAGTTTAATTGCCTTGCGGAGTGAGTAGCTACACTGTTTGTATTCTGCCATATTCCCAGTCACATTGCCATGGTTAAATGCAGTGATTTGTGCTTTCAGTTTTGTGCCAATGCTGCAATCTATCCACGGTTTCTGGTTAGGGTAGGTTTTAACAGTCACAGTGGGCACAACATCTCCTATACACTTCCTGATAAACTCAGTCACCGTTTCAGTGTATTCGTCTAAATATCCCAGTCCGCGTGATCAAAACAATTGAAGCGTGGATTCTGATTGGTCAGACCAGCGTTGAATAGTCCTTAGCACGGGTACTTCCTGTTTGATTTTCTGCCTATAGGAAGGGAGGAGCTAAATGGAGTCGTGGTCAGATTTGCCGAAAGGAGGGTGGGGGAGGGCCTTATAACCATCCCGGAAGTTCGAATAGCAATGGTCGAGGATTTTAGCAGCCCGAGTACAACAGTCAATATGTTGATAGAACTTCGGCAGCCTAGTCCTCAAATTTGCTTTATTAAAATCCCCGGCTACAATAAATGCACCCTCAGGATATGTAGTTTCCAGTTTGCATAAATCATACTGTTATATTATTTTTATCAGGAAAGTTTCTGGCCCAGTCAGTTATTCTTGTCATCATTACTTATTTTACATCTTGATATTTTAGGCATTTATCAGACGCTCTTATCCAGAGCAACTTAGTCACTTGTGTCTAAGGATCATTTGTTTATGCGTTGTTGGTTTCCGTGTCATCCACCCCAGGCTCTGTCTGAGGCCTGTGGCCAGGACATCACCACTAAGCAGATGCTGCCCGTGGTCCTCAAGATGTCCAACGACCAGGTGGCCAATGTGCGCTTCAATGTGGCCAAGTCCCTCCAGAAGATCGGCCCCGTCCTGGACAGCAAGTAGGTCCTCCTCGTCCACCTTCGTTCATATCATTCAGGCCTACCTGAACAACCATCTCCAATGAATTGACCACAGTCTACATCAGGGTCGTGTTCAGTAGGCACAAAACTGGAGAAAATATTTTGAAACTGAGGAGGCTCTTGCTTGAACTGGTCCAGTAAGGATGCTGTTTTTTGTTATTCCGTCACAGTATGTTTTGCGTCTACTGAACACGACCCAGATCTCCTTGTCCAAGCTTAATTCCTAGCACTCAGCTAATCCATTATGGCACGGGAGTGTGGGAAAATGTGTGCTTTGTCTGAAACGTTTTGTTTTTCTCAGTGCCCTGCAGACAGAGGTGAAACCAGTCCTGGAGAAACTAGCCACAGATACAGATATGGATGTTAAGTACTTTGCCCAGGAAGCTATACGTGGTAAGTATAGTACTCTGTCCATTTTCTTCTTGTATGAAGTCTCCTCGCTAGGGCCATGTTCAGTTAGCCACATGTTGTGGAACATTGCAGATAGAAATGTCCTGAATAGAGCTGCCATTAGTCAATGTGCTACATGTCAAAGAAGCATGTTTGTTATACATAATATAGGCTATTTCTATGTGAGCATTCCACAATGTTGTGCCCTGCTGAATGCGTTGCCCAATGTGAAGGTTAGTCCATCTTGTCATTCTTCTGATTCCTTGTGTTTTTCCCCATAGTTCTGGCCCTGGCATAAAACAACCCAAGCTTGGCTATCCAGAGGAAACAACATTGCAAACACTTTTCACAATATATTTATTGATGTTCAAGAGCAACTGGTGATGTATGGATAATTAATGGAGCCTATTAACACCTATTTTTCTTTTTCTTACTCTCAGTGATAATAAAATGTCCAGGAAAAGCGCAGGCTTCTAATTTCCCCTCGCTGTAAATCTTTTGCTTCTCCAAGTGTGATGAAACATGCATTTAAACTACGTATGCTGACCACTGTGCATAAGTAGCATTGCTGGTTTGACCCACACATTCCTGTCCTACATACATAGCCATTGACTGTAACGTTACTATTAGCACGGCCCCTATCGCTGCCACATTTCTCTGTACGAAGCACCCAGAACACGCAAGCCATCTCTTGGTTGCTTGTCCAAGTGCTAGACACATGCTATTGCTGCAGCAGATGGTGAGGAAGGCTGTTTTATTTGCTTGTGAAGAACGGCAAGGCTAAGACACCCGCAGATTTGTTTACATGTGCTGCTCCCTCTCCGGGGACATTTCTCATGTATTCAGAAAAGCTGTTGTTCAGCACCCATCCTCTCTGTCTGGCCTGTGCAGGTGGTGTGTGTGTGTGTGTGTACAATGAATTACGGTTTAGTTTGTCTGAAATTAGTAATACACACCCAATGTTCTATCTAGACTTAAAGGGATACTTTGGGATTTTGGCAATGAGGCCCTTTATCTACTTCCCCAGAGTCAGATGAACTTGGGGATACCATTTTTATGTCAGTGTCCAGTATGAAGGAAGTTGGAGGTAGTTTTGTGAGCCAATGTTAACTAGCAATTGCGCTAGTTAGCAACTTCGTTTAAACTGCACGCAGAGACAAATGGTATCCACGAGTTTATCTGACTCTGGGGAAGTAGATAAAGGGCCTCATTGCCAAAATCCCGAAGTATCCCTTTAAGTACGGTAATAGGGACCACCACAAAGTGTTGCCCATCTTTTGATTTGTCATTATAGACTAGTTTGTTTTCAGTTCATCACTGGCTTTATTTCTTTTTCTGAGACCTTCATTTGTTTGACGCAGGGGGAACAGTGGGAGTAATTGTTCGCAATCTCTCTTGCTATATTGCTCTTAATCTTTGTGCCAATTACTGATGAGCAATTGCTTTTTTTGTTTTCAAGCGTTTCATAAGGTTTAACTCTTGATTGTCCTAATTTTGTCACCATATTTCTCATCTTTCTCTTAAACAAATAAACCTTGATTTTCCCATGTCATGAAGACCCCGCTTTGGTTTTTATTGAATTCTCTCCTTTATCTTGAACTGAATAAAGTAATATAAAGATTTGGTAGAATCTGGTTGTTTACTGATTTGTTTATCTCTACAAACCTTACAATATAAACTTTTGCATTTAGTGTTGTAGCTGTTTTAGTTGTCTGCACACCCTTGAAGTTTACAGATTTTGCTGCCTCAAAGGTAGTCAGCGAAATGACGTTACAAAACAGCACCATAATGAGCAAGATTAAAGACAGCTCTGTCACAGTATCTGCGCATGTGCACGGGTTCGCTTCAGGCTCAGGTGTAATAGCCACCGGACCAAAACAGCAGAGTAGTTTAGCCTGGCACGCCAAAGCTCCTAATTCCGACCCGAGTTAAGCACATGTAAATGGGTGTAATACATTTAAGCACTTCTCTCTAAACTTGTTCTGACTTTGAGTTTAAGCATGAGAAAAGAGAACGAAGGTGTGTCTGCCGTATTCTGACCTAGACTTAATTCCACCACCTTTGCGCGCAACAAAACGAATAAGGTTGAGCAACCTATCGGTTCCAAGTGGAACAACCTCTACTTATTTTTTTCCGATAGAAATAACACCATTCTCCATGCACTGTAATTTACATATTTATAAGCGCTAGGTAAATTAGTAAGCTGTTTGGATAAGTGGATTGTAAATACAAATGACAATTGGTTTAGATCTATTTTACCTTATGATCACTGGAGATGTGAAACCAGACATATGGCAGCAAACTGAAGCATATCAACCAACATAGCACCTTTTCCACAGTGGCCTTATAACTTGCGAGAAACTTTGGAGACCCAAGCTATAGACCTCTGTAGCCATGCGTAAATGATAGTATAGCGCCAAACCTATCGAGTTGATTTATGATTTCTAGAATGTTTTAATTAAATGCCTGGACTTTTCACTGTATTATTTACTATTTGTATCCTGTTAAATATTAGCCACTAGCGGTAGCCACCGTCAGTTATACCCATGTACATTTACGCAGAGTATACTAAACATTAGCAACACCTTCCCAATATTGAGTTGCACCCCTCCCCTTTTGCGCTCAGAACAGCCTCAATTCGTTGGGGTATGGACTCTACAAGGGGTCGAAAGCGTTCTACAGGGATGCTGGCCCATGTTGACTCCAATGCTTCCCACAGTTGTGTCAAGTTGACTGGTTGTCCTTTGGGTGGTGGACCATTCTTGATACACACACAGGAAACTGTTGTGTGTGTGAAAAACCAAGCAGTCTTCGTCGGTTATTGATGCAAACCGGTGTGCCTGGCACCTACTACCATACCCTGTTCAAATGCACTTAACTCTTTTGTCTTGCCCATTCACCCTCTGAATGGCACACACACAATCCATATCTCAAGGCTTAAAAATCCTTCTTTAACCTGTCTCCTCCCCTTCATCTACACTGATTTGAAGTGGATTTAACAAGTGACATCAATAAGGGATCATAGTCTGGTCAGTCTACGTACATCATGGAAAGAGCAGGTGTTAATGTTTTGCATACTCAATGTATAAATGTCACTGACTTGCATAATTCCATTACCTTTATTTCCTCTGCCGTGTTCATGGGGTTGTTCCTAAGGAAGTGCAATAATTTGGGACATATAGCCTATTTGAATCATTATGGAACGTGACCATACAGTGCATTCGGAAAGAATTCAGACCCCTTGACTTTTTCCACATTACAGCCTTATTCTAAAATGGATTTAATGTTTTTTTTCCTCATCAATCTACACACAATACCCCATAATGACAAAGCAAAAACAGGTTATTAGAAATGTTTGCAAATTAAAATAAATAACTGAAATATCACATTTACATAAGTATTCAGACCCTTTACTCAGTACTTCTTTGAAGCACCTTTGGCAGCGGTTACAGCCTCGAGTCTTCTTGGGAACACCTTTATTTGGGGAGTTTCTCCCATTATTCTCTGCAGATCCTCTCAAGCTCTGTCAGGTTGGATGGGGAGCATTGCTGCACAGCTACTTTCAGGTCTCTCCAGAGATGTTCGATCGGGTTCAAGTCCAGGCTCTGGCTGGGCCACTCAAGGACATTCAGAGACTTGTCCTGAAGCCACTCCTGCGTTGTCTTGGCTGTGTGCTTAGGGTCGTTGTCCTGTTAAAAGGTGAACCTTCGCCCCAGTCTAAGGTCGTTTGCACTCTGAAGTAGGTTCTCATCAAGGATTTGCCTGTATTTGGCTGCATTCATTGTTCCCTCTATCCTTACCAGTCTCCCAGTCCCTGCCGCTGAAAAGCACCCCCATAGTATGATGCTGCCACCACCATGCTTCACGGTAGGGATGGTGTTAGACGGATGATGAGCTGTGCCTGGTTTTCTCCAGACATAGCGCTTTGCATTCAAGCCAAAGAGTTCAATTTTTGTCTCATCAGACCACAGACCACCGTTTTCTCAGGAGTGGCTTCCGTCTGGCCACTCGCCCATAAAGCCCAGATTAGTGAAGTGCTGTAAGACTGTTGTCCTTCTGGCAGGTTCTCCCATCTCAGCCAAGGAACTCTGTAGTTCTATCAGAGTGGGTTCTTGGTCATCTCCCTGACTAAGGTCCTTCTTGCCCGGTTGCTCAGTTTGGTCGGGTAGTTGGTCTGGGTAGTTCCATATTTCTTTCCATTTCCGATTGATGGAAAAGAACGGTGCTGGAGGTGATGGCTGCCGTTTCACGGGCTCCTAACCTGCTGTGCTAATTTGTGTTTTTTCGTATGGTTTGTAACTTATTTTGTCACTTGAACTCTACCCACATGTACATATTACCTCAACTAACCGGTGCCCCCGTACATTGACTCTGTACCGGTACCCCCTGTATATAGCCTTCCTACTGTTCTTTTATTTTACTGCTGCTCTTTAATTATTATTATTTAATTTTTTTTACTTAACACTTTTTTTTTCTTAAAACTGGATTTTTGGTTAAGGGCTTGTAATTTAGCATTTCACTGTAATGTCTACACCTGTTGTATTCGGCGCATGTGGCAAATAAAATTTGATTTGATTTTGTACATAATGTTGCTGCTACCGTCTCTTATGACCGAAAAGAGCTTCTGGATATCAGAACAGCGATTACTCACCTCGAACTGGATAAAGATTTTTTCTTTAATGAGTCCGATCCAAAGGATATAGTGCTTCTCCGAGACCTGGCCCAAATCCACATCATTCGCGTGAAGAAAATACGGAAATACAGGGAGCGGAGATTGGGGTGCCTTGTGAGAATTCGTCGGCGAGTGGGTAACCCGCCTCTACCATCCGTTCAATTGGCCAACGTCCAATCACTGGAGAATAAATTTGATGATATCCGTTCGAGACTATCCTACCAACGGGACATTAAAAACTGTAATATCTTGTGTTTCACAGAGTCGTGCCTGAATGACGACATGGATAATATACAGTTGGCTGGGTTTTCCGTGCATCGGCAGGACAGAACAGCTACTTCTGGTAAGACGAGGGGTGGGGGTGTGTGTCTATTTGTCAATAACAGCTGGTACGCAATGTCTAATCTTAAGGAAGTCTCGAGTTATTGCTCGCCTGAGGTAGAGTACCTCATGATAAGCTGTAGACCACACTATCTACCAAGAGAGTTTTCAACTATAATTTTCGTTGCTGTCTACTTACCACCACAAACAGATGCTGGCACTAAGACCGCACTCAACAAGCTGTATAAGGCCATAAGCAAACAATAAAATGCTCATCCAGAAGCGGTGCTCCTAGCGGCCGGGGACTTTAATGCAGGCAAACTTAAATCCGTTTTACCTAATTTCTACTAGCATGTCACGTGCAACCAGAGGAAAAAAAACTCTAGACCACCTTTACTCCACACACAGAGACGCATACAAAGCTCTCACTCGCCCTCCATTTGGCAAATCTGACCGTAATTCTATCCTCCTGATTCCTGCTTAC